CTCTGGTGTGTCTTGCCTGCTGGGACCGGTACGCGGCCACTTTCTTAACGTAGAGCACCTGCCGTGATCCGCGTGCGAATCAGTTGCCCGGGACGAGCAACCCGCGAGAGTGTGCCGAAAGTGAAAATATGGAACGCGACCGTTCCGTTATGCTCGCTGTTCGCCTGTCAGAGGCGGTCAGGGGGATACGGCTCTTTGTTCTAACTCGAGAATTACGTTTTGAGACGGTATGCACCGGTGAACGGGATTTCGTTGGATGTCGGGATTGTTCGTCGTTGTGATTGTTCATGGGGTTCTAGGGGTCTGTCCGGGATTAAGGGAGGATCGTAGGCGGTGCCTGTAGGGTGATGTCGGAGCTATAGGAATGTTAGGCTGTGCGACGTGTGTACATTGTTGGTAGATTCGTGTTACAGTGGGTGCATGGTTATGTGAGTAGATGTTTGTGCGATAGGTGCAGCAGGCCTGGCTCTAAGGATGGTATGTCTGGAGATTTGAAAGTAGACCTCGGTATAGACAATGTTTGCAGATTGGCTTTTGTCTGTGTTATCTGTACACTACCACTAGACCTCTGGTCCAATGCGTGTAGGTAGCGAGTAGCGAAACTGGACCGATTGAAATGCATTTTTGATACAGTCGTTTACATATTGAGAGTAGATTAATTCACTTATTTCAGTAACAAATCCGTAACGGTTTTATTGTAATTTATTAGCTACCCAGCGTTCCTTATCTTTCCAATAATTGATAAGACAGTACGCAGCTGAAACCAGTTGAACATTTTGCCCTTAAGCGTTTGGCAGTTGCAACTCTTGCGTTTTGGTATACTTTCAACTAGATTCGTTTGTGCATCGGTGAAGTGCATATCGACAAACGCGGACGGTTTATATATTTACAGTAAGATGTGTAGTTATTTGTGTATACAGGGTACACGTTGATGAGAAAGTCACTCTTCAGACGACACCGATACTCCTTATCACTTTCTACTGAAAGTTTTGACCAGAGAAAGTAGAATAGGGGTCTTCTGTTCTCCATTGATGATCGGCGTGCCAACTGGTAGCATTTTGATATCTTCGTTGAATATTATACAGTGTTGAAACACGCATTCCGCTTCTGCTGTTCCATTTACTCAATTAGATTCAACGGGATTTTTTCCCTCTGCGCCTCGCTGTATCAGGGTTAGCGAGTCGAAGTCGTTAGATATCACTGCCTCCCGTTAGATACCGTTCGCCAGTCTCGTTGGATGCTGCTCTGCCGTCCCGAAGTCGACAATAATTGAAGTTCAATGTAGCAAAACGGTTCAGCGATCCTCGCGAAGCTAATATCCCATTGTATTCGCGACCGAACATAGTTCTCACTCACAAACTAGCAACCGATAGCCGGATCTCTTTCGATATCTCAGATGCGATCATACTAATTTATGTGCATACCAGATCCTGCGACCGATTAACGTTGCCCGTGCCGTATGCCAACCGATTGATTGTCCAATGATTAATTCGGGAGAGGCCACTTAATTGTCGAATAACGATCGTTCCATTCAGTTTATGGAATACCTGAATGTTTCGTTTACTACTGTGTATTTATTACTTCTACCTATTTACTTGTTACTGTCTGTTTATTTACTAGTATTTACTACTGTCCATTTATTTATTTATTAGTATTTACTACTGTCTGTTTATTTATTTACTAGTATTTACTATTGTATATTTATTTACTAGTATTTACTACTGTCTATTTATTTACTAGTATTTACTACTGTCTATTTATTTATTTATTTACTAGTATTTACTGCTGTTTATTTATTTATTTATTAGTATCTATTCATTGATTTTTCTATTTCATTCTGCAATGAGAATATCGCATAAAGTAGCTTGTTATAAAATTGTTTTCTCAGAGATTAGTCAATCGACAGGCTTGGCTAAAGATTTTCATTTAATTGACAGCTGCAAATGAGGACGATCCTTGAACCATTCAGCCACCGTCGTTCTCCTTTCATAAAAAAAGACCGATTGTTAGCATTCCTCGACAGTGAACTTCGCTTTCTTTGCGAGACAATCTTTTTCTTTTCTTTCTTCTGCTTCTTCTTCTTCTTCTTCTTCAGCGAACACGTTGTCTTCTTTTTGTAGGAGTGCTTCATAGCTATGCGGACAAACAGAGGTACGATGGATGGTACAACAATCTGGCTCATCCGGATTGGGGATCGATCGGCAAGTATCCAGAACTACTCAATCAATTTGATCCTTTCATACTGATACAATTAATCACGTGAATTCTCGTTGTCCCTCGTTTAATCCAGATACTACCATTATTTTCAGAATGATCATGATTTTGATGAAGGTAATTTTATTTTACAATATTTGTACTCTTTTTCTTGGAGAATGGTTCTTTTTTGAAACAATAATTTGGTACAATAATTTTATTATCACGTTCCTTTTAGATTAGAAGAAAGGAAGGTACATTATTTTCATGAATTAGAAGAAAATATTTGGCAGTGTCTGGATTAATTACAGATTGAAGATGAAATCAGATCATTTGAAAACGTCGGATAACGGGAGTTTAACCTTTAACGAATTCTTTAATTAGATGAAGTAACGTGAAATATTAGGTAAGCAATCGTGAAATGAAATTGCGAGAAATGGAAAAAGTATAGGCGATGTCATTTATACGCGTATAAAAACGTGGCCACGTGAAAAACGCAATTAGTCAGGCCGACACGCGTGTCACGGTTCTTTAAGCACGAAAATTATACGGTTTCGCGCTAGCGCCGATCATCGGGACGTCGATGACAATATTAATGACCGTTCGAAATAATCGTAAATCGAGGGTGAAAAAGGACATCGTAAAATTCCGAACAATCATTCATTCCTGGCGACTGGTACAGATTGTACAAGCCGTTTCATCATATGTGGGCAGAGTTTTGTAATTAACTTTCGTGGCAAGTTTATACCTGAAATAATTCCCACATATTATGAAACACCTTGTACAACATATTCCTCATATTTGGAACGTCCAGAATGTCGTAAAGGAATCCTTAGGTAATTAGATCCGCTTCGAAATGCTCGTCGGGTAATTAATACATTGTCTGACTATAAACGGTGCGATCCACTGTGCGCCCAATTTATTCACTACCAAGCAATTAGAGTGACTTGTTTGTAATTTGTTATGAAAATTCGAAAAGTACTGCTTTTTATATAATTTATAATTCGTTATAAGAGTTGTTATAAAAATTGGAAGAGTACAGTTCTCTAGATAATTTCCAGTTTATCATAAAAATCAGAAGACAACAGTTCTCGATTTTCAAAGCGTTTCACCGCTTTTCTATCATTCCATTTCAAATTTCCTCACAGAGGCACCTCCACGATTTCAATAATTGTAGATTGAAAATTCTCAAACCGGTCATTTCGGCCCGTTTGCTGATTCTCCACTGTTAATGATAATGCTGACACGGTTCCGTACCTCCGTAGACAGCAGGCTGATACGAAAGATGCCGGCAGCGTATTCCGACGGGGTCTACATGCTCGCCGGCCAGGACAGACCTTCCCCGAGGAAGCTCAGCCAACTCTTCATGCAAGGCGACGACGGGCTGCCGTCGGTCAAGAACAGGACAGCGTTGTTCGCTTTCTTCGGTAAGAAAGTTACATCATTAACACGTCGCACGATTTCATAGAGCAAACCATACGAAACGGGAAAAATATATTAACCCTTTGCGGAAGACTGTTTTTAGTACAAACCTTTCGCAGATTCTGCTAAATTAAACGCTGAATACTTAAATCATGAAGAATAAGGAAACTGTGTACTGATTTCTTGCTGTTCGAATAGTTGAATCATTTGTTTACTTGGCGTTCTAAATATGGAGGTTTGATCTTAGTAAAATGCCGACATTCGTCCGCAAAGGGTTAAATCGTTTCATTGAAATGCATTATTATTGCTTGCTGAATATAACCGCGTTCGGAAGCATTGTTTATAATATAGAAATATTGTCAAATAATCGTCGTTTAATTGAAATGAACGAGAAAAAGCTTCCGAGTGCAAAGGGTTAATCTAATTTCTTTCACTTTTGATTTCACGTTGAACGTGGCCAAGTTGGCGGCTCTCCAACTTTCGGTCTCTTGTTTATGAGGATGCGTTCGGTGCAGTCGAGTGCATATTGGAGAAATTGTTTCGAAGAGAGTCAATAAAGCATTGCAATTAATTTGCATTCAAGTGTGGTAGTATTCAAATTAGGAAGAATTCGGTTCAGTCAGTCACTTCCTGTGAACGCTTAAAATGAAAAGTGGGTCGGTCGTCTCATGGAAATTTATGCATAAAAATAGAGCTAATTCTCTTTACGCTTGTATATTTTGATCGTTCGGTCCAGTCCGATTGCCATTGTATCGGAACCATTGCTGACGTTCGCCGGCCGACAAAAAAGAAACGTCCCAACAGCCGGCGCGTCGTCATCCGATCACCGCGCCAGAATGAATCGTGGGTGATCGATAACGGGAAACCGTGATGCATCATCCGAAAAAAGTTCGTCAAGCTTACAAACACGTATTTCTCATCGGAATTACCCGTGAGCATTGTTCCAGAACGTAATTTCCGATTTTTGTGCATTCCAATGGAGAACAGGATGTCGATTTAAGAATATTTAAGGAAAGATGAACCTCTTAACGCAGGCATAATTGATTTGTTATCATTATATACGATTGGTAATGTAGAATTATTCATAATTAACATTATGAATTAATACTTACATTCATAATTAAAATTATGAATTAATACTTATATTCATAATTACTATTGTGAGTTAATATTTACATTCATAATTACTATTATGAGTTAATACTTATATTCATAATTACTATTGTGAATTAATACTTATATTCATAATTACTATTATGAATTACTATATTAATTGTTTGCAAGTATCGTATGGAAAAGCGATTGAGATGGAAGTTTGATATTAGAAGCTTTGATTAGAAAACAAAGATGGAAAAAATTCATGTTTTGGCGTTTGCAGTTATTAATTATTATCCAACATATTTGGGAATTATAAAAAAAGGCGTTCTGACCTAGGAACAACGAAATAAACCCTTTATATAGACAGAATATCATTTATTCCATCAGAATTCACAAAAATCTGAAGATCTCAAAAAATCGACTCGACTGTTGGTTTCTGAGCGATTCAATTGCTGCTCTACTTGATGTTCCTGACTTTCGTTTGGAACATTCTTTACCCAACGAACTATATACGACAGAATTTAGTTGACATACTTAAATGATGGAAATTCTAGTTTCCAAGTTCGATTCGAGACTCAAAATCAATTTTTCAGAGCAGAATAGAGAACAGTTCTTCCTCGCATACCAAAAATCATTGGATTTATTCTATTATCATTGGATTATTGAATCATTGTATTTATTCTATCTTCATTGGATTAATTCTATGGAGTCGTGCACTTTCAAATTTCCCACGAATATATGCAAATCCGCCGGTTGTATGAGATAGTCGCGTGACTAATCGCGGATAAGCCTCTCACGATCAATTCGAATATCCGTATCGCGCCGTTGCGCAAAAAGGCCGAATGTCCGGGATCAAAACGGTCACGAAGCCGGTCGATTGATTCTTGTCGGTTCGACTGTGAGCTACTGAATCGCCAACGGCAACAATCATCCGGGCTGCGCCACGCGGCAAGACGGATTTAGATTTCCTCGTGACTTTGTCCCGTTCCAAAGACAATTCGACGAATTCTTGCACAATTTGGATGAGCGTACGCATCGGTCTACAGAATGATAATATCTGTAATCAACGGAAATAGCTGTTGCAGGGAAACAGCGTGCGATAATAGTGGTAATAAAAACAGCGACGAAGATACAGAGTGATAGGATCAATGATAATAACAAGAAAGCGTCATCTGTGTTTGAACATAGAATATACTTCTCTTGTTTCATTGTTACTAATGCTATTACTGTTATTGTAATTAGTACTGTTATTAATACTATTATTGTTATTATTGCTATTACCGTTATTGTTGTTAGTAGTATTGTTATTAGTACTAACAGTGATAAAGATCAGCAATAATAACAAGAAACTGTGATGTATATTCAATCATAAAATTTACTTTTCTGATTTAAGTATTATTATTAATGCTATTTCTGTTATTGATATTAGTACTATTATTGTTATTATTGCTATTACAGTTATTGTTGTTAGTACTATTGTTATTAGTACTAACAGTAACAAGATCAGCAATAATAACAAGAAACTGTCATCTATATTCAATAATAAAATTTAGTTTTCTGATTTAAGTATTATTATTAATGTTATTGCTGTTATTGTTATTAGTACTATTACTATCACTGTTATTAGTACTATTACTACTGTTATTAACATTAGAACCAGTAAAAATGACTGGTATCAGTTTTTGTTTCATCGTAAACATCGAAGTAGAATACGCTCGCCATAGCCAGACAAACGATTCTTCGGTTCGCTCGGCGATTAACGTAAATCGTACGATTCTCTCCGCGGAATAATATTAAGACGTCGCCTCGAACGATCGAGAGCAACGAGAGCGCGCATAACTTTCTTGCCGAAACCTCGCGGTAAGGTTGAAGCCTTCGAGGAAAGCGTGTCCTCGAACAGGAAAGTAAAAACTGGGACGCTCGCCTAAATTCCTCCGGCGCGTGTTCCTCTTGCGCCCGTTTCGTTCCACGGAAGCGATACGTGGATCGGGAAAAGTCCGGGGAACCGGTTGCCCAATCCGTCGCATTCGGCGGAGGTTTAGCTGAGATAACTGTTAACCCTTTAACCCTTTGCACTCGAAAGTTTTTTAGTAGGAATATTCGATATTCCTCGATGAGATACAGACGATGTTCTTTGACGAGGAAACATATATAAATTAAGGAAAGTTATTTTATTTCGATATTCCATGTATTGATGTATCATACGAAGCTTAATATTATATATAAGACTTTATAATTTTGCAAATCGAATCAAGTGGTGACTGAGAGTCACCTCTCGAGTTCAAAGGGTTAATTCCCAGCGTCGACTACTCTGTCATTAAGCCTTTGCACTCGAGAGGTGACTCTCACCGCTTGAAATGAAATAGCTTTGTTCGATGTACGAGCGATTTCTCTTAGAGTCAGTTTCACGAAATGTCATTATCTCGTCAGAAAATGTTCAAAGATTTCTAGTGGAAAACTTCCGGGTGCAAAGGGTTAATACATTAGAATTTATGAGAAATCTTATGATTTCTTTCTCTAGTGTGCTCGATGGAACTTTGTCAGTTTATTGGAAAAAGTGTTAACCCTTTGCTTTATAATAACGTGTGAGACTCGTGAAGGTTTCAAACAGAACTTAACAAATATAAATGTTAGTCAATTATTGTGAATACAAATGAAATATCCTTTCGTTACCAATGATTATAATTTAAAGCAAACACAGGCATAGAATACACCTAAAATTCGTTTCTCTTTTCAATAAATTATTAATTGCAAAGTAATCGTGTCGATCATAGTTGAAAAATAAATTGTAGAGCAGGGGGTTAAAATAGTATATAGATTTCATGGTACAAAATACTCGAAATGGGAAAAGTACGATATTAAATCATTTGATTGAATTGCATTGTTATTATTGCAGGTTCATCTAGCTGAATGTCACCACATTAGTTAATGTTTCCAAATAATCATGGTTTAATTGAGTGAACTGTAGTAATTCGTTTTGGTTGGGGGTCACCGGTGACCCCCATGGAATTCAACGTGTTAATGTACACACAGCTCATCGCACGGAAATGATTTCAGGGCAGCTGGTTACGTCGGAAATAATCATGGCCAGCGAGAGCGGCTGCCCCATAGAGTACCATCGGATCGACGTGGACAAATGCGATCCGGTTTTCGACAAGGAGTGCCAAGGTAACAAGTACATTCCCTTCCGTCGCGCCGACTACGACCGCCGAACAGGACACAGCCCGAACAGCCCTCGCGAGCAGGTAATTCCACGGCGCAGGCTCCTCATTAACCCCTTGCCCTACAACGAGTGAGACTCAGACTCAGAACAATATTCAACAAGAGATAGGATTACCGTCATAATGATATATAATTATGTATTAGCTAGCGAACGTGTTAAACGAATCATTTCTGAATCAACGTAGAACTATTGATAATAAAAATGTTGAATGATACATCTAAAATAAGAGAGTAGCCATAATTTCTAAGTAAACGAGTTTTGTACTGTTTTATGGAAGTTTGTTGGAAGCTTTAACTAAAGGAATTATGTTGTTTTGAATAATTATTATACTGATAACTCACGTTGTTCAATTATCTAAATTTGTAGTTAAAATTTTTAGAACATTTCACGTTTGAAGTAAGAATACAAGAGTGGACGTTTACTTGATTATTTAAGAGAAATATGTAAATCACTGAACTAGAAACTGCTTAGAGATCCGAGATTAAATACGAAGCTTAATAAATTGCACGCAGAGTCCTTCGGATAAGAGACTGACTAACGCTTGTTCTATCCAAATGAAACCATTGTTATTAACGACGGGGAAAGCGGCGATGATTAAGAGTCCCATAACGCGCCTCTTTCTGCATAATGATTTCATTGCTGAACAGGATCCAATCGGCTTAAGTAGAATGTCTCCCAACAAGGGTGCCCTTTGATAATTAATTCCATGATCCTAATCGGATTTGCGGCGACTATAAATACCGTTACGACTCCGTAAGCTAATGAGGATCTATGAATAACTGTCCGTGACTCGCCATTTTGGGAACCGTTCGATGACGAGACTTCCACCTGGGGAAATAAGTCGCGAAAATTAGCTCTGAATACGTGAGGTTCCAGATAAACAAAGTGACGAGCTGGATCGACGGTAGCTTCATCTATTCGAGCAGCGAGGCGTGGGCCAACACCATGAGATCATTCAAAAATGGAAGCCTCCTGATGGAACCGACCAGAAAATTCCCCGTGAGGAACACCATGCGCGCTCCTCTCTTCAATCATGCTGTACCACACGTGATGAGGATGCTGAGCCCTGAACGTCTCTACCGTACGTTGATCTTTGATGACTGGACTGCGAATGTGTATGGGAAACTTGTTTGAGAATATTGTCAGAGTATATTATTTATCTTATTCAAAGGCTTTGAGAATTCAATTTAAAGGTAAATTCGAAGACGTGTCTTGATATTAATTTAATACTAAGACTATTGAGCAGTAGAATTGACTTTATGAAATTGCTGTATAGAAGCTTCAAGAGTGTGTATATTAAGACTTGAATTGATTTATAATTTAGTTTGTATATTGAATCAGTTTCTTTAGTAATTTCTGAGAAACATCTGTTATCTGTTTGATGATTGCAAAATGAGAGAGTCAGGAATGTCTGCAGTCTACCGAGCAACCAGAAATTCATTTGGTAATAAGAGATCATTGACATTTAGTTCTTGGGGACCCGAGGACGAACCAGCATCCACCGCTTCTGGCTCTGGGAATTTTGTTTTACCGGTGGCACAATGTTATCGCGGCCAGAATACAGAAGGAACATCCGGATATGGGCGACGAAGACGTGTTCCAGAAGGCGCGACGCATTGTAGTGGGAACACTGCAGGTGAAGCTTCGACGTACTCAACAATTCAATTAGCCCAGAATTCCAGTTAACACGTTGACTGCCTAATACTTGTAATATGATTACTATGATACTAAATCATTAATAATTACTTTCAATATCATTTGCCTTTGGTATTAAAGAATAAGTATTCTTATTATATCTCTAAGCTGTCTAGTTACTTATATTACTGAATATTTTTATTTAAAATCAAGTTTTTTCTTGTAATTGTTCTTCAGCAATTTGGAAGGCCATCAGTGAGCACAGTGGCAGTCAAAGTGTTAAACTGAAATCAAGAACAGTATGAATTTTCAATGTAAAAGGAACTTGATTTAGTAATATTCCCATGGGTGGAATTAGATTTGATATACAAGTACACACGAAGATTAATTATGTTGACATAACTACCGTAATAAAGTAATGAATACGTCTTTCCAGCGCAGCGCAATCCTCGAGCACACCGCTGTTACGCTGTAACTATATATCATTTGTATGTAACTGTATACGGGCAGCGTAACAAGATACACTAATTTCATAGTGTTTGAAGAATTAACATGGAATCACGAGCCATGGCATCTTATGAAATCTCGCGTTAACACGTTGTGCCTCTGTGTTTGTATTGCAGAATATTATATTGTACGAATACCTGCCGATGCTGCTGAACGACGATCTACCGCGTTACTCAAGCTACAAACCGGATCTTCATCCAGGGATCAGTCACATATTCCAAAGCGCCGCTTTTCGGTACGGGCATACTCTTATACCACCCGGTATATACCGTCGAGATGAAAATTGCGAGTTCAGGCGGACCAACACTGATCAACCTGCTATAAGGCTTTGTTCCACCTGGTGGGACTCGAATGTGAGTCTAAATATTGTGTTGATGCGACAATTTTCATGTTTTCTTGTATGTTAACAGAAAAATTGTTCCCTAAACGAATAACACCTGTCTTCAAACTTTTGAGAATTCCTTTTATTTCTTATAAAAAACACAACTTCTGCATCAACTCAGTAAATTCAAATTATTAATACTGTTATTGATTGAATTATTAGATATTGTGAACTGGTTATAAATAAAATATGTCTATTCTACAGGAGATCCTAACAAACAGCACAATCGAGGAGCTAATAATGGGACTGGCTTCTCAAATAGCCGAGAAAGAGGACAATCTTCTAGGCACTGATATTAGGAACAATCTCTTTGGTCCCATGGAGTTCTCAAGAAGAGACCTGGGAGCGTTGAACATCATGCGAGGAAGGGACAATGGACTTCCAGATTACAATACCGCCAGAGCACACTTCAAGCTATCTCGTAGGAAAACCTGGAACGAAATCAACCCTGAATTGTTCAACAAGAATCCATCTTTGTTGCGTACCTTGGTGGAGATTCATTTCAATAACTTGAACAACGTCGACGTCTACGTTGGAGGGATGTTAGAGTCCAGTTCCGGTCCTGGTGAACTGTTCTCCGCGGTTATCAAAGAGCAGTTCCTTCGGCTGAGGGACTCTGACAGGTTCTGGTTCGAGAATGAGGAAAATGGGTGAGCCAGTAATTTCCATAATTAAATAGATTAACCCTTTACGGATGAACGTCACTTTGGCCAGATGAAATTTTAATATTTGGAAGACCGAGTGGCGGACAGATGATTTAATTAGTCAAACAACGAGACAGCACGTAGATCCCTTTTTTCTATTAATTAAGCAATTGATGTATTATTTAGCTTGATCTGCTGAAGGTCTTGTACATGTCAAAGTCTTCGTCCGCAAAGGGTTAAGATATTAAGGACAGTTTTGTGATTCTGTAATTGTCTGTAGAATCTTCACTAAGAATGAAATAGAAGAGATCCGTCGCGTTTCTTTATGGGACGTGATCGTCAACGCTACTGGAATTGAACCAGAATCTATACAGAGGAACGTGTTCGTTTGGGAAGAAGGTGACCCTTGTCCTCAGCCCTATCAGTTGAACTCGACGATGCTGGAGCCCTGTGTTCCATTGCAGCGTTATGATTATTTTGAGGTGAAGAACAATCTATGAATTTCACTAGAACTATCTGATGACTTGTTCTGTCAGCTATTGAAAAGATATAAATGATTCCTTGAGAAATTGAATTTGCGTTATCAGTTTGCGTTTGAGTTATCAGTTCAGAAATACATGAACTGAATTACAAATCCATTGAAACCCCAATGCATGTTCATATAATTCTCATAGAAAAATTAGATTTAATTGCTCGGTAGTTCTAGTGTTAAGTAACACATTACCTAATGGACAATAACAAAGAAATCTTTTTATTCTCAAAGGGAAGCGAGCTGGTGTACATATACGCTTGCGTGTTCCTCGGTTTCGTGCCGATTCTGTGCGCTGGAGCCGGTTACGGTCTCGTGAAGTTGCAAAACCGCCGACGCAGGCGGCTGAAGATCCTCCAGGAGGAAATACAGAAGCGGAACGACGGGAAGATCTGCGTGGACAAGATGATCGTGCGCGAGTGGCTGCACGCGAACCACCGGCGGCTGGTTAAGGTGAAATTCGGCCCGGAAGCCGCTCTTCACATCGTCGACCGGAAGGGGGAGAAACTGCGGACGTTCGATTTCAGCGAAGTGAACACCGTTACCATGGAGGAGTCCCAGGTAGCTGTGGCAACCGGCCTCGCTTTTACCGTTTCATGAAATACCGGGACCCTCTGAGGAAACCGCGGAGTCGCGTGAACGGGCGCGCGCGCGCTCAAAAGACTTTCCAAAATCGAACCGGGCCAGGTGAAGGCAGCGGGAGGCTTTTGTAACGCCACGCTTTCTTGAACAGACTTGAAATTCTTGCTACACGCGAACCAATTACAGCGGTCGGAACGTGATTGGGAAGTCAGGCAGCTGCGTTGTTTGCTGGGGATACGGATTCCTCGAGATACTCAAAAGGAAGCTATCTGTTACAGTAGATGATTGATCATTGATGGATAAATGTGTTAACACTAGAACTATCGGATGGACCAAAATATCATTCCTAATTTCTTGTTTTATAATTACTGAAAAGTAATTATTAGTGATGAAACTGAAATATAATTAACATTTCTATAAAGTGATTTGAAAAAGATTAGGGTAGTTCTAGCGTTGAGATGATTGATCAGTATTTTAAGCCTTTGCACTAGGAAGTTTTTCACTAGAAGTATTTCAACATCTGATGAGATAAAGACGATTGTGAAACTCAAAGAGAAATCACGCATTGAGGAACAAGGCTGTTTTATTTCAATTTTTCTCAAACTGATGCGTTGTGTAATGATATTGAATATCAAATTGTATAGTTCTACAGTGTAAAATCAGGTGATGAGTGAGAGTCCCTCGAGTGCAAAGGGTTAAAGATATAATTCATTTATCCTATTGATCAAAGAGGATTATATGCGTTCAAAATGGCTGCCCCTTTGGAGTAATCTTTAAATCGTCTGAGAGACTGCGGAGCTTGGTTTATAACAATGGTTTCCCGTTAAGGAGAACGAGAATGGTCATCGCAAGGCGTTGGTGCTTCTCCGTATACCGCGGGACTACGACCTTGTCCTTGAACTGGATTCCCTGGCCTCGCGTAGAAAGTTCATTGCGAAACTGGAGGCATTCCTGGCGTCCCATAAGAAGCACTTCACGCTGTCACAAGTGGGCCGGGACATAATGCTCGCCAAGGCGGAAACGAAGGAGCGACGACAAAAGAAACTGGAGCAGGTTGCCTTTCCCTTTAACCCCGTCGCGTTCTTGCCGCTTAAGGGCGAACTCGATTGTTGCCTGTCTCTCCATACCGAGGACTAACGGAAACATTGTCTCTCGTAGTTCTTCAGGGAAGCTTACGCTCTCACTTTCGGCCTGCGACCCGGTGAAAGGCGGCGACGCTCGGAGGACAGCGACAGCGGGGAAGTCGTCACCGTGATGCGGACCTCGCTTTCTAAAAGCGAGTTCGCCAGCGCTCTTGGCATGCGAGCGGATGCTGTCTTCGTGAAGAAAATGTTCAACATCGTAGACAAAGATAGGGACGGTCGCATTTCTTTCCAGGTATCATCGTCGATTCAGCAATCTTGATAATGGGAGCTTAATCAGATGTAGGCAGATGATAGCGAAAACAGTCGATGGTAGTTGATGGTAGATTAGGATAGGTGAAACAGGATTGAAGATATAAAGCACAAGCTTGGCAGATCAAATGTTATTTTTACTAGAATATTTAATTTCTTTTTAAAGTGTGCTTTATCCATTTTGGAGTATTATTAGTATTATTTGTTTTAGATACTTTAGTAGTTTTAGTTATATTAGAATACAATCTTGATAAGTTGAAGCAGGGCATAATTATAATGAATTCTTCCAGGAATTCCTGGACACGGTTCTACTGTTCTCACGAGGAAAAACCGAGGACAAGCTGAGAATTATTTTCGACATGTGTGACAAGGACAGCAACGGAGTGATCGATAAAGAGGAATTGTCTGAGATGCTCAGATCATTGGTAGAAATCGCGAGAACCACCAGCTTGTCCGACGATCACGTTACAGAACTGATAGACGGAATGTTCCAAGTAACTTTCCTATTAAATTGGTTTTTTTCCCTCTGCGTCAGCAATGCTGCAACCCGAATGTTTGTAACGATGATGCTTTCAGGACGCTGGTCTCGAACGGAAGGATTACTTAACCTACAATGATTTCAAGCTGATGATGAAAGAGTACAAAGGGGATTTCGTAGCGATCGGGCTCGATTGCAAAGGCGCGAAGCAGAATTTCCTGGATACGTCGACGAACGTGGCGCGTATGACCAGTTTCCATATTGATCAACTTCCGCCGGAGGATTCGAAGAGCTGGGCGCGGAAACAGTGGGACGCCGTGTCGACATTCCTCGAGGAAAACCGGCAGAACATATTCTACCTGTTCGTTTTCTACGTTACGACGATCGCCCTATTCGTCGAACGATTTATATGTTAGTATCCAGTCCCGTGGCTCCGTGGAATTTCGTTTCGGAAAGTCCCGTCATGCGAGGAAACGTTCACTCTTTTTTCACTCGTCCTCGATAAAGAAACAAGAACAATCGGAGTGATTAAAGAGAAAGGATACTCCCGGCGTGTTACGACCGCCGCAAGTATTTCATGCCGCCTTTTTTCTTTTCAGATTACTCCTTCATGGCGGAGCATACCGATTTAAGGCACATAATGGGAGTCGGGATCGCTATAACCAGAGGATCAGCGGCGGCGTTGTCCTTTTGTTACAGTTTACTGCTGTTGACCATGTCTCGCAATCTCCTTACCAAGTTAAAAGAATTCTCGATTCAACAGTACATCCCGCTGGACTCGCACATACAGTTCCATAAAATAGCCGCCTGCACCGCTCTGTTCTTTTCCGTCCTCCACACGGTGGGCCATATGGTGAACTTCTACCACGTGTCCACTCAGCCGCTGGCTCATCTGCGTTGCTTAACGAGCGAACTCAGTTTCCCCAGTGATGCTCGCCTCACCATTTCTTTTTGGCTTTTTAGAACTGTAACAGGTTGTACAACTGATATTCATGTTAATTGCGAAACGACTGGTCCGAGCGATGCTAATGGAATTATTGTGAAACGTCCGCAGGTCTGACGGGGATCCTCTTGTTCGTTGTTATGACGATTATTTTCGTGTTCGCCCATCCGACCATCCGCCAGAAAGCGTACAAATTCTTCTGGTCAACTCATAGTCTGTACGTGGTGCTGTACGCTCTCTGTCTGATTCACGGCTTGGCTCGGCTAACCGGCTCCCCGCGGTTCTGGATTTTCTTTGTTGGTCCAGCGATAATTTACGCTCTGGATAAGGTAAATTGGACAGTGCCATTTCTGCGAATCTATGCTGGCGACTGCTATTAACAGTTTCATTCTGTTGAATCTATAATATGGTAGTTTTTCAAATGTATTTTAATCGTGTATTTTAATTAAGTTTTGACCATGAAGTATTCGCTTGTACTTGGACTATAAGCACATACATTAATTAAGTTTCGACTATATTTATTGCCATGTAAACACAGATTCTAATTGAATCTTAATAATAATACTCTGAAAATATAGAGTATTATTATTCTCGAACATGATTGAAACTCTTTGTATCCGGTGACTAATTGTCAATGTAAAAATTCCAGGTAGTCAGCCTGCGGACGAAGTACATGGCGTTAGACATTATCGAGACGGAGTTACTGCCATCGGACGTGATAAAGATCAAGTTCTACAGGCCGCCGAATTTGAAGTACTTGTCTGGCCAATGGATCCGCCTCTCTTGCACCGCGTTCCGGTCGAACGAATTCCATTCCTTCACCTTGACCTCGGCGCCTCACGAAAACTTTCTGTCCTGCCACATCAAGGCACAGGGTCCGTGGACCTGGAAGCTGAGGAACTATTTCGATCCTTGCAATTACAATCCCGAGGACGAGCATCCAAAAATTAAGATAGAAGGACCATTTGGGGGCGGGAATCAAGACTGGTACAAATTCGAGGTCGCTGTGATGGTTGGCGGTGGAATTGGGGTTACCCCTTACGCTTCTATGCTCAACGATCTCGTTTTTGGCACTTCTACGAATAGATATTCAGGGGTTGCATGTAAAAAGGTAATTGAGAGGATCTGTATAAAATTAGTCCACCGTATATTTTTCATATTTTTAACAGTACTTCTATGAATAGATATTCAGGGTTGCATGTAAAAAAGTAATTAAGAGGATCTGTATACGATTAGTCCATGATTACCATGAATATTTTTCATACTTTTAACGTTTATCCTGTAGCAACTTTTCCTGTGTACCTTTCTAATTGCTCGTCTCTTTCCAGGTCTACTTCCTGTGGATATGTCCCTCCCACAAGCACTTCGAGTGGTTCATCGACGTCCTACGAGACGTCGAGAGGAAGGACGTCACGGACGTTTTAGAGATTCACATATTTATTACACAATTCTTTCATAAATTCGATTTGCGTACTACTATGCTGGTAGGTAATCTATAATAATATTTAGAACGTTCCATTCCCGCATTCTTCAAGAACAAACCAAGACAAAAATCCTTTTTCAGTACATTTGCGAGAACCACTTCCAGAGACTGTCTAAGAAGAGTATTTTCACTGGGTTGAAAGCGATAAATCATTTCGGCCGGCCTGATATGACATCGTTCTTAAAGTTTGTTCAGAAGAAACACAGCTACGTAGGTCTATTTTTTATTTACTCTGCTGACATCCTTACAAGTGGATCAATTCATGAAACTATTCAATAACGATATCCTTCTTGACATCAAGTATAATCTCAACTGTTCAACCTTTCACGTCTCAGGTCAGCAAAATAGGAGTATTTAGTTGCGGACCACGCCCCCTAACGAAGAGCGTGATGTCGTCTTGCGATGAGGTGAACAAAGGCCGCCGCCTGCCTTACTTCATTCATCATTTCGAGAACTTCGGCTAGTCTCGATCCTGCCGCGGGCACAGGAGAAGAAGCGATGGACTCTATCGTGACTCTCACGGGACTCTACCTTATGTATATATTTATGCGCGTGTGCGCATCGTTTATTTATACCGAGTATTACATTTCTTATTTATGTTAAAGAAAAGAGAAGAGATGAATATTTTTTTTTTCAATACTTTTTCTTCACTGAACACGACCTCGCGAACACCTAAAGTGCAACCCTCGATTTTCCACGTTCTTGGTCACTTTTAGGTTTCATATCAAGACACTTAGCAGGAAGTGTACCCGAATACCAACAGAGTTCCAGGATAAACTAGCGGCTGAAATGTTTCGTAAACTGAAGTATCGAGCGGAATGAAAGTATTTATTTCCGGAATCGTCCAAGAGTCGTAACAAACAGAAGTCAGCCATTCATGTTCCTCCGCGAGGACGACGGGAACGGATAAGACCAGTTGTTCTTGCCGGTGTCCTCGTGATGGAAGTCCGAGGGCTCGTGCGAGGTGTAGCCACGATTTATCACGCCTTGGGTGTCCTCTTTCGCGTCGTGTCTGCTCTGCAGCTTCGACGACAGTTGGCTGAAACGATTCGTGGAAACGGAAGAGTTTGAGTCAAGGCGAAAACAATCTCCTTTAGTTAAGAAAGCAAAATAGATGAGCGAATTACCTTATTATACGATCACCAAACGAATCCTCGATTTTAGGTAGCCTTCGCCTGATGTTCCTCGTGTCGAAACTTTCCTCTATGATCACGTGCCGGTCGTACGGCGTGTCGTAGTCGACCTCTAGTATAGTGGAGAACTGATGAGGGAATATCATGTCTATCGCAGTTATCACCGCCCCGACGAACAAGCATCCGATACCTGAAACCAGCGCCATCCCTGAATCCTGTCCCTTGGAACTGTACTAACACGATGCACCTACCGGATAGCAGGATCAGCCAGTAGTTCCATCCCAGATTAAAAGCAAGAATAGAACCGTCTATGTGAGCTATCAGCGGCTCGCACGGTAGCAATGCCCAGTATATTAGATTGGTCAGCAGCATGCAAGTACCGGTGAAAATCATACCGTAGGCTCCGTAACGTGGCACCACCACTAACAGCAGATTCATCATGGCCCAAGAGGCGAACGATGTCCTGGAAAGTAGTAAATGTTAACACGTTGAATGCAGTACGAGAGCAGGATACATGAAATGGAAGAAATCAGATGTTGAATCATTCGATGGAATTGCATTATTGTTGCACATTCATCTAGCTGAATCTTTTCGCATTAGCATTATTCATAATGTAGAAATGTTTTCAAATGATCATCGTTTCACTGAGAACTATTATTTGAAAACTTTTCTATATTAGAAGCAATACAATGCAGTGACATTCTCAAGACAAACCTGCAATAATAATAACGTGATTCAGTTATATAAATTGATGCCACATTTTCATTTTGTATATTTTTCTCAGCAAAATCTAGAGGCACTCAACGTATTAAACATAGAAGCTAGAATGATTGCATACACTTCATTTATGTTGTGAATTCTGTTTACTTAGAATCTGCTAACATTATTCATCTGCTAAGCATTATTCATAATATAGAAATGTTTACTATTATTTGAAAACTTTTCTATATTAGAAGCAATACAATGCAGTGACATTCTCAAGACAAACCTGCAATAATAATAACGTGATTCAGTTGTATAAATTGATGCTACATTTTCATTTTGTACATTTTTCTCAGCAAAATCATGAGGCACTCAACGTATTAAACATAGAAACTAGAATGATTGCATACACTTCATGTTATGAATCCTGTTTACTTAGAATCTGCTAAAAAGGAAAGTACAATATTGAAAATAGACTGTGGGTGTTTATCATGTAGAAGTGATTCATTCAGCTAAGTATAAAATGAAATGAAAGTAAAAACGTAGATGCATAATATCCACAGGCTGTTCAAGAATGACTCAGTTAGCTTTGAGAAGGATCACAGTATTTACCAAAGCATGAGTGAAGCATAATAACCAGCCTGACGGTACTTGCTGCCCCATGAGAATCCTTCCTGATGAAGGCTAAAGTATTCAGCTAACGAGACAATAGGAAATGGAGCACCTTGATTGAGTGCTTGCTTGAACGCACTGGTCATCTCTCCAGTGCTTCTCCACCAGAATCTCTCATTGTACTCCACGTCGTCCATCGGGTGTTCATTGCTTGGTAACACTGGAAGAAACTCAGTCTTAGTAAACAGTTGAACCGATGAAACTACAGTTTAATATCTAGAACCTCCATTTATCTCCATGAGATTCTAAGTTTATCCAGTGCCTTATGACACTTGCCAGCTGGAATGTCATGATTAATCAAGACCGACGTACTGGTCAGATGCACGTCAATTGAAGCATCAATTGATGACTCACATCGGTAGGTGATATTGATGTGCATCAGGCCTATGTAGCCGCCGATTTCGGCGGTGGTCTTCTGCCCGGAGTACGCGCTGTACGTGCTGACGACGGTCGCGGAACTGGTGTGCCAGGATGAGCCATACTGGGCGACTGTAAAGAGTCCTCGTTACTGTACAGAGGCGGCTCGCGTCGAAAGAGAAAACTCGGTTAATTGCAGGCAAAGTAGACCGTACCTTGTATCGAGGCTCCGACGAAGAGGCTCAAGGTCACGGTGAGGAACGTGCTCAGTCTCTGAAAACGAGAGAACCACGCTTTAAGCGGCAACGTCCATTCGGTCGATCAATCAGCAGTGAAACCACCGAATTCAAAGCATCGAACATCAAGAACCTCGTTCAACGTTTCAGACGCTGAAGACTACATTAGACTGAGTTTACCAGCAGAAGCCATAGTCGCGTGGATATACAAAATCGAGAATCAAGTTCTATAAACATGTCTTAGAAGAATTTAGGTTTGTACCCTGAAATTCCCTAAAAGCCATAATATTCTCCATCGCCTAAGCGACTTTATAAATCCAACTCCGAGACTGAATTTATAATTCAATTTACGTATCGCTACAGATTCTCCGTTCGTTCAAAGCGTTAGTTTCTCAATAATTCTAAAAGAAATTGGAATAGATGATTCCGACGATTGTAACAGTTAACAGGCGAGACTCTCGACGCAGTAAGGAAAGAATACCAGCCTCCTTTCGTATCCCGGGGAATATGACTAGGAACGCCGTGAAGATCGTGCCGAAGATCACGAAGACGATCACCAGTGGTACGTCGCCGGTGACCGGCGTCCGGTTGCTGTAGCTGTAGAGCGTCGGTCCGCCGTCGATGCGGAACGCGTCGAACCATCCCTTCATCGTCGCCGGGCGATTTTTCGTGTCGCGACCCTGACGGGGCCGGCCAGTTCCGGTTCTCCTCGGCTCGGGCGGCTTCGCATCGGGGGACTGTCCCCGAGTGTTCTTCGCGCGAGGAACGTTTAACACGAAAACCAACACATAAAGTAGGTACCTCTGCTCGGCCCACGGTTCAACATAGCCTCCCCGGCGGGCTGGCGGATTCGTGGGTGTACCTTAGGTCGGCCACGCTCGGCTGGCGGCGTCCAAGGACGAGGGATTGCGAAACGAAGGTGACTTGGCTGGAGCGGAGACGGACACCTGCGCAGCGGTCGGCACGGAGGTCCGGAGTCGGAGCGGATACTAAGGCCCCCGAGTAGGTTAACGGGTCTTCGAAAGTGATTTCCAGCGGCTCGGTAGAGGGGACGGATGCCGGTCTAGAGGGGAGGATTGAAAGAGAAAGACAGGTGGGGCTGGCGAGGAGGAATCGGCGCGGCATAGGAGAAGGCCGGAGAGGGAGAACCAGAGAACAGGGATAAAAAGGATGTTCATTCCGATCAGCTGAGCCAGGAAAACGCGATTACCCCGGACGACGACGACGACGACGACGGTGCGTGCGGCCCAGGTCGTCGTTTTATTTCGGCGGCGAGCCGCCCGCCGATCGATGATCCCGGATGACGACACGAGACGTGACACGTGAGCGCGGATCGCGAGGCACGCGGGAGAGACTTCGACGCCGGCACTAGACGCGACGCCAATTGTTTCCCAGGAATTCTTCGCGGCGGCCCCGCGTCAGACCGAAATAAATCTGAACTGCGAAATACCCGTGGAATTTGGTAAATTGCAGTCGGCTCTAATAATACCTGCTTTCACCGGCGGTTTTTTCCATGGGGATCGCGGGAACGACGGAACTGCACGTTGATAGAGGTTCTGGGGGGTTCGTTGGTAGCTGACACGAGGTTCGCGGGACTTGTTCTTAGGGTGTTAACACGTTGAGCCCTGTGATAATGTGTTAACATTATTTTATTTTTATATTTTTATGTTTTATTCATATATTTAACCCTTTGCACTAGAGAGGTGACTTGACACCATTTGGTTTGATACAGCGAAACTATGAAGTTGAATATTTACTATTTTTAATTAAACTTTGCGTTGCAGTGTGAAATATTTAAATATTTGTACATAGTTTCCTTATTTCTATATTATTTAGAGATTCGATGATGTGATTTGGCAGAGTCTGCAAAAGGTTTTGTATACTCTAGAGAATCTTCCGCAAAGTGTTAATTGCTGTAACATTTTAAATATGTATAACAAATCCAAACTAAAATGACAAAATCGAATTCCTTATTCTTTTTCGCAAGTTACAAATTTCGGTTTGATTGATGTTTGAAAATATATTAATATAATCACCGACGCTCGCGTTTTTGGTAGCTGAAATTTAGCCGGCGTTCAATGTGTTAACATTTGAACTATCAGTGAGAATGACACGTTTATTGGTTTCCTTTTGCGATTTCTAAGGTATGAATACTTTTTTAATTGATTGACTTATAACGTCGTGTTAGGCTAGTGATCGAAATTTTGAACTGAATTTGAGAGACCCATTATTCATTTTTTTAAATATAAATAATTATTTTTCTATTATCAATCGGTAACCTTTAGAATAAACGTAGATATGGAATAAATATGCAAATTTCTTCTTTCCAGTATAGTTTAAAAATAAATCATAGGACGAGGGATTAAGGAATTACCAAAGCTGATTAACACTTCAACTGCCACATGACTCAAATTCAGGTGACACTATTATTTACATAGACTTCAACATTAATTTTCTCGCTGACGTAACGAACGAATTCTGTTAGACGCACGAGATACTAGAAACAGCAATCGTTACGAAGAATATTGACCTTTCAGTTTCAAGAAAATTCGATTGAACTTTCAACGAGTGTTTACTTGGCAAAGCGTTAAGTACCACCTAAGCCAAAACTTCACCCAATTCAAACCCGAATAACTCCCCGTCTGCAGCTTCCACAAAGAAACTCTCAAAACTCAGTCCAAGTGTACTTCAAGTATCAACAAAATACATATTCTTCTCTATTGCAGGATTCCCAGACATCCACAGCAACCGACTCCCGGATCCCCAAAACCCATCAATCTCACCCGAACCAAGGTAACATTTCCAATCAGCCGAACTCATCGCGTTATCTCGACCGTTAGCAGATCGCAAAGAATTTTCAGCGTGAATCATCCGGAGCAATGAAAAGCTAGCCCACGGTATCCGCCCACACGGTGCGCCGATCGTCCAACCGCATCGCTAAGGTCAGTGGTACCCGACTCGTTGAACCTATTAACGTGCAACCGTGCTTAAGCCCATTCACGATCTCCTCAGGCGAGGCAGCCGCGAAAATAGCTGGCAGCGGAGTAACCTGGCAATCGCTGGAGGAATCTGTCTCTACGGTCCGGCCAGGTGTCCGAGCAGAAAAGAGAACGACGGCGGCGCGAGGCGACGCCGAAAGGGCGCTAGAGAAGAGGAGAGATCTGGCAAGGGTACGCGGCTGTGTCCGGTACCGGTAGCGGAAGCCGCGCCGGCCGCGTCCACCTTGTCCCGCGAGAGAGCAAGGTATGCCGCGTCCAGGCCGGTTGGTCCATAGTGCCGGCAATAACCCGGTCTATTTCAGGCGGTCTAATTCGAGCCGGGTGACGGTAAGCTTTTAACGGCAGCGCTGGTAGCATCATCCACCGTCGCCGCTCTGCCACCACCACCGCCGCCACCACCAGCGGCTCCACCACCACCACCACCACCGACGATAACCACCGGAACGAGCGGTCCGGTGGCAGGCTACTCGCGCAGTCTCCTGAGCGCGTACGCTCCCAATACACCGGCTACCGCTCCTCTGGCTCTTCAAGGTAAACGAACATTGATCCGCTAATAATCCTCTTAACTCCACCCCGTCTTAAACTAACGCAAGATAACACAAGTGTCGTTCAGGACTGAAGATTAGCTTAATAATCGGAAGCCTATGTAAGGGTGGATCCTGCAAGATCGCGATCGAAATAGTACGCGGAGGTGCGAAAGGGGGAGGGACGGAGATTAGTCATCGTGTCGGGTACCAGGTGTGCGTCTGAAAGAGCCGACGCGGGTTTGGACGACTGCCGTGCCGCGTTTCCGATTCATCGTCCGGACCAAAATCGGCGGCGCGCCGAGACAAAGTGCGGCGTTCCCTTCTGGCAGCGTTCCCAACCGGCGGCCAGCCGACACCGAAAATCTCCCGTAATCCGCCTCGGGCCGAGAAGGTCGCACGGCACTACGTATTTCGGTAAAAAGCGCACCGGCGAAGGCCGACGAAGGTGCTTTCTCGAGGTGGCCATCGGGGAGTCGTCGTCCACCGCCGGTGAAACTCGCCCGGACTATTTATAAAGCGTGCTGCGAGCGGAGTCCTCCTCCTCGTGGCAACGCGCGCGCCGCGGCCGCGTGCGGCCCGCCCGACGCCGCCTTAGCCGCCTAGCCGCCGCCGCCGCTTGCCTATCATGGTCGGACCGCGTGCAAACCAAACTGACCGGAACATCTCTCCTCCGTCTCGTCGTCCGCTTTCTTCACCCTCCCGACGCTTTTACTCTGTTCCATTTCTTTAATTGCGGAGAACGACCGACATTGTTCCGGCACCGTACGCCGGGAACCACGCGCGGCTTTCTACGCGGCCAACTTACCTCGGTTAGCGTGTCGGCCGAGAGGATTTTCTTTTATTTTATCGATACTAAGATTCAAGGAAGACACTTGGAGGAATCGTTTGTGATTCGGATTTATGGGTTTGCTTTGGTTTTTCGGTATATGGAATCGTTGGATGGTCATTGGTTGTTGCAGTCGCGATGGGATAGCTTTGTAGGTTGCTTTTCCTTTTGAGAGTTGTCTTTCGCTTGGATACTGTTCGCTACGTTGCATCTTGATCTGCTCGATGGTACGGATGTAATGATTTATCTCTTAAAACTGTACTTTTTATTTTCATTGTACTTCGGTTAATCGTTGAATTGCATGGGGTCCGGTGACCAAATGGAATTACTATAGTTCACTTAGTTAACACTAAAACTACCGAGGACTGTGGCTTTTGAAAATTTTGCTGTAGAAACTCCAAGAGTGCATCTGTTCAGACTTTAATTGATTTACAATTCAATTTGCGTAGCGCTAAATGAATTTCTTTAATAATTTCTCAGAGAAACATTTGTTACCTAATAATTGCAAAAAGAAGACATCAGGCATGGGTCATTTGACCCCTCTGGTAGTTTTAGTGTTAAATTGAAAACATTTCTATATTCTAAATAATGTTAATGACATTCAGAACAGATGAAAGATTTAATATTTCCATATAGTTCACTCAGTTAAATTGAAAACATTTCTATATTCTAAATAATGTTAGTGACATTCAGAGCAGATGAAAGATTTAATATTTCCATATAGTTCACTCAGTTAAATTGAAAACATTTCTATATTCTAAATAATGTTAGTGACATTCAGAGCAGATGAAAGATTTAATATTTCCATTTTGTATAGTTTACTGTTTAAAACAGCATTCAAGATATTAATTACCATGAATATTATTTCATTCGAATCGTATCTTCATATTCAATTGTATATTTCATACACCATAAGGATATTATCGAGGAATGACATAGTTCAACACACAAAGCAATTACAATTTTTCAGTAAAGATCGTTCCCATCAAATTTCTACGATCAACCGTACAACGAGTGTATTCACCGTAAACGTCTGTAGTCCATTGTTTTCCCCGAGCCGACGACTGTTCCTAAGTTGTTTCGTTCATCTAACAAGACTGCCTCGCTCGACAGCCTCCCGTTGGAACATCTTGTAACGGTGAAAGAGCTCCTGTTAGTTGGACGCGTCAGATTTTTCGCGGACGAGGGCCGGATCAGTGAAAAAGCCGGTTTATTTGTTGCTCTTGCGTTTCTTGCGTTCATCGGGCGGAATGAATGAGGGACGCGGTTGCGCAACAGACGTGGAAACATTTATTATCGCACGCGAACCAACAACTGGAGTGTTTATTTATCGCGTTCCGGAGGATACGCGGCCGATGGCGGTTACGCGCGAGACCCGCGAGGCGTCGGAGCGTTTTTATCCGCGGTGGACTTTTCTTAGCAGCGTCCTAACACGCGCGCGAATATCCTTCTTAATTTACTTCGACCGTTCTTCTCGTTTTCATTTCGTCCGTCGTGTTTACACCTTCGGAACGGCGAGGCGTTCGGACATTCCGATACACTTGCAACATCGACGTAATGTTCTAACAACACCGGCCGTTCCGAAAAATTCGCTGCGACTGCATGTTTACGGTCTCGCTCGGAAATTATTAACGTCTGGAATGGCTTTTCTCTTAATGCTTGTCAGTTACAGACGTTGAAATTTTAACACTGTGCTACTTGGAATTGTAGAAACTCCAAGAGTGCATGAGACTTTGATTAATTCAGCTTTCGTGTTGATGAATCTCTTTAATAGTTTCTCAGAGAAGCAATTTTAATCGTTGCAAATCTTGATTCTATATATTCAATATATTGTGAAATTGAAAAATGTACACCTAAAATAATTGTTATATTCAATAATTTCAATGATTTTTTATGATTATTTTTGATTAACTTATAAAATTTTCAATTCAATATCAAACGAAGTAAAATAGTTCTGTCTCTTAATTTATAGAAGATAATCAACTGTGTTAGTTGCGAAAAATATCGTTAATACTTTGTCAGAAAGTAATGAGTATTTTTAATGAAAAATATTGTCGAGTGCAAAGGGTTAAATTACGTCTTCATGTAAATGTTATTCCCGATGTAATTAAAATAATTGAATTTAATAATAGAGTATCATATGAGTTACATATATTAATTATTTTTGATCATAAATTTCCAATTTCTAATATTATTGAAATATATAGAATATTATTTGTAACACTTTGCCACATAACTGGAGCTTACAAATTACAAGAGAGTTGACTTGGAAGATAATTGATTTCGAATAGAAATTCTTCGTGACGTATGTAACTAGATAATAGTAATAATCAAAGAATTAATAATTGTTGCTTCGTGTGTTTGTTATAGAAAGGATAAATGATATATACGCCGATGTTTCTCGCGGCAGACGTGACGAGTATACTCGGACAGAATAATTTCTCCGTGCGACGTAACTGGAATCCCTAAATCCCGATCGACGCGTCACAAATATATATTATCGGCTATAAATATTTATACTTTCGTTTATAGCGGACTCGCGCGCGTCACGGGATCGCGATCCAAAAATTAATTCCGTCCGAACCATTATTTATAAACGGCTGTTCCTCTTCGACGGGTCCCTTACATAACGCGGCACGCAACGCTCTTTATTCACAAGAAAGATCATTGTCCTAGATTTTGACTAGAATTTATTACCCAAACATGGTCCACATGTCGTTCGTTGTTGAACGGGCTACCTTGCTCGCTTGTCGGCGAATTGGAGCAGCGACGAGCGACTCGCGGATATGTACGCTGCGTAATATTCATTCTGTTGTTAACACTAAAACTACCGGACTAGTCGAAATAACCCATTCCTGATGTCTTCGTTCCGCAATTATTAAGAAGACAATGGATGTTGCTCTGAGAAATTATTAAAGAGATCGATTTACCAATGCACAAATTGAATTGTAAATCAATTAACCAGTTAACTGTGGAATTTAGTTGGAAAAACCTCTCGTTCCGCGCGATACAATCGAAAAATGGAGCGTGTACTCGTCGAACGCAGGACGAATGCGCGTAGAGTATATTTTAATGAAAGGTCAGAGCGAAACAAAGAAGAATTACATGTTTATGTGAAAAAATAAAGAATTCATCGTTGAAAGAATTAGTATCATGTCAAGCTTTATGACGTGTATACTCGTCGAACACAGTTAACTGGTTAAAGTCTCAATAGATGCTCTTGAAGTTTCTACGGTGTAATTTCAAGGAGTCAATTTAACTTCTCGGTAGCTTTAATGTTAACACGTAGGCTAATTTTCAGAAAACTGAATTGTGATAGCAATTTTCACTGAGGTCAACTTATATCAAATTTTTCCAATACTGTGGTAATTAGCGAAGTTGCATAGCTAAGTGTCTATATAAAAACGAGATTTCTCGTTACCGGTCCGCAAGTTGTTAATAATCGGAGAAAGGAGACATCAAGAATAGATCGTTTTGACCTGTTCGGTAGTTCCAGTGTCAACCCTTTGCCCCACAATTTTTTGCCTGGAAAAATTCAACATTTTCCAACGAGATATAGTCGACATCGTTTGAAACTATTTCAACGACAATTCACAGATAAATTAAGCAAAGCTATTTTATCTCGATATTTCACATTGCAATAGAAAGCTCCATTTAAAATTCTAAACATTCACTTCATAATTTTAGTGTCAAATCGAATGAGTCACCTCTCGAGTGAAGGGTTAAAGTACCACAAAAAGAAAATATTTCATAAATTATGCAGAGCTATTTTATCTCAATATTTCACATTGCAATAGAAAGCTTCATTTAAAATTCTAAATATTCACTTCATAATTTTAGTGTCAAATCGATTGGTGAGTCACCTCTCGAGTAAAGGGTTAAAGTACCACACAAAGAAAAATCCGTGGCTCGTTCGTCGCCGATTCCGAGGATCGTGGAGGATCTCGCGAGCGCGACGCGTTCGGGTATCGGTTGTATCGAGGCGGGCACGTAACAAGCATCGGATCAAGCGGGACTTCCTAATTTCCGTATGCGCGAAAACGGGTCAAAGTTATTTTCGCGCGAGGCCTGCCGTGTTCCAAACAGCCGCCAACGCTTCCCTTACCGTCGCGGATTGCACCGGCTAGACCTAGAGCCCGTCGTTTAACGTCCGCGCCGGTTTCGCGGAAACGGAGAATCCCGTCGTTCAGCTGTTAAACGGCCGGCCGGGTCGCCGGAATAAGCCAGTCATCGAATAGGAGTAGCTCAATGTCGACGTGCTTGAAACGCCACCGCTAAATAGGGACAATATTCCTAGAACCGCGCTAGGCACTACCAGACACTTGTGATAATAAGCGGCGGACATTGTCCGACCGTGGAAGATTCGCCTGATTATCTTGGGACTCGAGAGGCGGGGATCGATCGACGTTTCTAGGAGGATCGTAGGCTTGTTAGAATTGTAGCTTTTTAAATAGAGGATTTTTGTTGTTATTAACCCCTTGCTTTATAATTTACTTCTCATATTGCTTGCCCTAGAGTTTATTTCTCATCTTGAAACTTGGGAGGCGAGGATCGATGGACGTTTCTAGGAGGATCGTGGGCTTGTTAGAATTGTAGTTTTTTAAATAGAGGATTTCTGTTGTTATTAACCCCTTGCTTTATAATTTACTTCTCATATTGCTTGCCTTAGAGTTTATTTCTCATCTTGGGACTTCAGGCGAGGATCGATGAACGTTTCTAGGAAGATTTTAGAATAGTAGTTTTTTAAATAGAGGATTCCAATTATTATTAACCCCTTGACCTCCAATATCGTGTCAGACTCATGATGAAAGTTCTCAAATTTGGAAGATCTAAGTGTTATTAATTCTTTTGAAACATAGGAGAAATAAGGAAATAAGAGATAGGAAATATTCTGGAGTAGATATAGAATAAGCATTAACATTTGTAATAGATGATTAATGATAAAGTAATTGTATCACTCATAGTTAAGAAATAAATTAGGACAAGGGGGTAATAATAATATAAAGCCACGTTATGTCTCGTTTTTTAGAATATTTATATTATTTATAGAGAGAGAGAGGGGGAAAGCATAGTTGCATTATTTCTAGGAAACTATAGAACCGATTCCCTTCCGTTGAATCCCTGCCACGTCAATTTTAATGCGACGAATAAAACAAGGATGTTTGTTTTCGTTTCCAGGCGCCCAGTCGAAGCAGAGGATCAAAATGTCGGAGACGGAAGGTGAGGTCTTCTTTACGAGCTGGCGTCACGATGTTCTTTGAATATCTCTGGCCTAGAAATATTGAGTATCGTAAATAGATAATGAACGAGCGCACGTCCAGGAGCTCAGGGGAAAAAGTACGATGATCGAAGATGCTGAAACAGCAGACTCACTCGAGAACATTCGCCTCTTTCTTTTCTTCTTTCACGCTCTCTCTTTCTCTGTCTTCCTCTAATCTGGCAACGTAACATCATTAACGTAACCGTCCCACTCTCGTCGCTCTGATCTTTGTTTAAGATTGACGAAAATTAGTGCACGTGATCGCTGGACAAGCATCGTCCGCTCGCGTTACGCTGCGTATCCACCGAAGGAATGTTTAAATGTTTCACTTTTACAGAGAGATCCTTTGGATTCCTTTGCACCTGACAGGTTTTCACTAATGTTGAAATATTCGTTCTCTGGCGACATATGGACTGTGTTTCTCTGAGATCAATTTATCAATGATTTCTACGGTTATTAAGGAACGGAACTTGAGACAATCTTCACGATAATTCAAGTTGTCATTTAGTTTTATATAAATCATTTCTTCGATTCATTAGATAAATAGCAAAGTTCCATGTTAAATGTATAACTTCATAATTCTACAGATTCATGTATACTTGAAAATTGTTCACTAATGTTGAAATATTTGTTTTCTAGACATAGACTATGTTTCTCTGAAATTAACTTATCGATGATTTACACAGTAATTAAGGAACTATTTTCCTAATGAGGTGTAGACTGTTTCTTAAGACAATCTCCACGATTCTTCAAGTTATCTAGTATTAAATAAATCATTTCTTCGATTCATTAGATAAATAGCAAAGTTCCATGTTAAATGTACAACTTAATAATTCTACAGATTCACGTGTAAACCTCCCGAGTGCAAAGGATGAGCTTACCGTTGCATTTGTTTTTCACAAGGAAGCAGAGTGGACGAAGAGAGGAAAAGCTGTTCGTTCCCGAGGTGGACGCTCAGCCTAACATTGCTGTGTTCCGCTGCGTCGCGACACTCTTCACTAAATCATTACGAAAATCAGATTTTCAGAAACAGCTTTCGTTTTCTTTTTTAAATTGTCACGCGGTTTGGTTGATACTCTCCTTGTACTATGTATCTTTTATTTTCAAGTACTCATGTAACTTCGTTTATTCTGTTTACAGTAGTACCTCGGTTAACGTTAGAAACGTTAATGAAACACGTGTGGTTTTAAGTTACTTCTATAATTCACTAAATGATATTAACTCTCTCAGAATGAATCATTCTCTTCGAACGAACACGTAATTCTTCCATGACACTTTAATCTTTTATTCTAATATAAACACGTTGACTGCCACCGTCGCTGAAAACAATTATAACTCACAGGACTGACGTCGAATAAAAATATCCAATGACGTAAACAAGACAATATTTTAACATAAAGATAAATAAGAATTATTAATTTGCTACTACAGTTCTTATGTGATGTTATTATGTCACGAAGGTGTGATACATAAATAATATTTTTCGTGGCAGTCAACGTGTCAATCTCATTAATTCTCATCGCAGAGATTGTTCAAATTAAATCAACCCTTTGCGGACGAAAATTCAAACATCGAACGCTCTTTCAAGCTAAATTACACTTCTTGAATACTATCAAACAAAAATCAAATTCGACGTTCGTCCTCAAAGGGTTGACTGTTCCACGGTCAGCATTGAACGACAATGATCACGTTGCGTCAGCGTTAATCGAGGTATCGTTGAACGGGGCGTTACCGTAAAATTCCCACGGGTCCCGGCGATCAGTGAAACGAGCACGTTTTCCAGATATTCGAGGCGTGGTGGAGGGCAATGATTTCCACAGCATCATCGAGGAGGAGAGCGGCAGATCTAGTTCCGCGGACTATTTAGACACGTACGAGGACGTCCACAAGGGGATCAAGGAGTTGTCCGAGGAAAGCAACGGCGACGACTTCAGGGAGGACAGAGAGACGTTCGTTGAGGCGGTGAGGAGACCGCTGGAGACGGAGAGGAAGGAGATCATACAACCAGGTTCGTGAAGTATGGTAATTCATGGATAGATGGATCACCTCGAGAGTCGAGAGACGTATCTCTGTACCGTATCTCGAAATTTCCGAATTGTTCACGGAGAGTCTGACGGTGTGTTCTTAAGTTAAGAGAAAGAGGATCAAGAGCCAACTCTCAGGGGAAAAGAGATTCGTTTTTTTCACGTATATTTCTATGGAAAACACTGGAATCGATTGTGTCAGAAGAGCTACAATTGACGTGTACTTTCTATTCGAGGAGATATCGTTGCGTAAGTTTCTTAAAAAATCAAGGTAATATTGTGAAAATAGACGGTTTCTGAGTTACACTGGTAAGATTGATCGTTGATTTTTTAAGGGATTTCGCAATTAGCATTAAGCATAGGAGGATTTCTAACGCGCGATAGCTGTAAGGCTGACGTTGAAACGCTTAACGACGCCTGGACACAGAGTGCCCTGGATAAAACCGTTTTGTAACGTACGAACGCCGGCACTATGGACGTTCTAGATTCATTTTGAAGAGTGATCACGCTCTCATAAACACTCGCGGAGTTACTATGCATACACGCCGCCGCTCGAAAGTTTGTGTGTTTAAACGTGCGTCTTTTCAACGAGAAAATCCAAGCATTCGATAATAATCAGTTGTATGAAAATAATTCACTTTCCTGCGATGCCTAAAACGGTGGATCGGACTAGAGATGAATTCTCAGAGAAAGTTAATCGCGTTCTATATTTTGAAATGTGTCAACGATTATTTCAAACTGTTGGCGAACGAAGTGTCTATTGTGTAATAATATTAATAATGTCAATATAATATATATAGTAATAGTATTATAATATATTTTAATTTATATTAAAATATATACATATAATAATATTATTACTACTATATATTATATTATTACTAATATTAATATTATTACTTTATATTTATTATATATAATATAGTAATAATATTGTAATATATTTTAATTTATATTAAAATATTATATATATAATAATATTATTACTACTATATATTATATTAATACTATATAGTATATAGTATATAGCATATAGTATATTATATATATAATATTAATATTAATATTATTAATATATATATACAGTAATAAATACAAATATAAATAAAACTACTATTATACATATAGTATCACACACACTATAAATATAAATGACACTAAATACAATAGCGTGCACAACAGAATAAAGAAAGACGAACGATCCGCAAACCTTCGAGCGCAGGTTAGATCCAGAAGATCCACGGATCACCTCGAGTTCTCTCCCTCAAGGGAGACACGAGTCAAGTATCAGGGTACAGGTCGCGCGCGAACAATGATCAATCACGAACGAAAGAAACCTGGTGGACCATCCATCCTCGAATTACCTCGCAACCGATTCTCGGTTCGCGTCTCCTCAGTCCGTCACGCTCGCACGCGGGCAGCTGCGAGGCGTTGAACGAGCGACCGAAAATAAATCCCGCGGAGAATCCGGTGGGTTTTAAATAAAGAGCGAGCGCGCGATAGCCGGTCAACTCGCAGAGAGCCGGCCCCGTCGGTTTCGGCCTCGCGAAAACCCGTCGGACGTTCTGCTCTTCCGTTTCTCGTCCGACCGTGTCTAATTAACCCCTGGCCATTGTGTCGCCCGTGTAACGGCGATCGTTCACGTGTGACTGTAACCGGAATGAATGATCTCGAGAACGCCGCTGACATGTAACCGCGTTTCGATTTGGCCCGTTTAATTCCCGAGTGACGGCGAACGAATTCCCGACGATTCTCAATGGGGAAGATGGATCATCCATCGGGGGAGAATTTAACGTAATTTAATAAAAGATTCTAATTCACTTTGAAATCAATCGACACTCGCCTATTAGACGGACCTTACAAGTAGTCATAGAACATCGACGCTGGAACTACCTATGAGATTCCGTTATTTCCATTACCTTGTTTCTCTTATAATAATATTGTATATCCATCAAACTTGCAATAATGGTACTTGGTAGTTCCAGCGTCAAGCTACACCCAGACTGCGGATACCCGTGCAATGAACTGTATCGAGACGTGCCAGCTCCATTAAACTGTATCATCTCATCAAATCTCATTGCTGAAGTCCAGCCGCGGATCCGCAGTCTGCGCCGTTCGAGGACATTCGATCGGCCGGCCGAACCGTGTATAAATACCCCGGAACGTTCGATATCTCCGGCAAACCGAAAACGCCGATCGAATGTCGCCGAGCCGCGGCTCGTAGGCGAGACCAGAAGGCGAGCCGCGCTCGAAACGAGCATAGCGCGAGCAACAAGAGCGATCGAACGAAACCAAAACGAGGAGCCGGCCGAGAAAGTAAGAAAATCGAGTAACGGAAGGCTGGCGGAACCTAGAGAAGCGTGTCTTCTGCGCGGAATGGCTCCGTCGCTCTCGCGCCCCTCAAGGCAGCCGCTCAGGTGGCCCAGGGTTCAACCCCCGTCTCGTCTCGTTTCTTTTTCAGCGCGTGCGACGCCGGAAACGACCCCGGCACCTTCGTCATTGTCCGCCGACGACGCGAGCTCGCCGGGAGAGGATCCGGCCGACGCTGCGCCGCCGGCCTGCGATGGAGAACGCGCGGGGACGTCGGCGGCGGCCGAGTGGAACTCGCTGCCAGTCCTGGTAGAGCGTCTGCGGACAGTGCTAGAGCACTCTTTGACGTCGGGCAGCGAGCAGCCGGCTCGGCCGGTGCCCGAGGACTCCGGGGTCGACTCGGAGGAGGACCAGCGTCTGCGAAACTCCATGGAACGCGTGCTGGTGGACTGCAAGGGGCCCGAGCTGAGGAAGGACCTGAAGTTCCTGGAGGACCTGCTCTTGTCCGACATCCAGACCGCCCTATCGCGGCTGCGCGAGACCCTGGAGCGGATCGACGTAGCAGCACTAGCTAGAAACGGCGCTGCTTCCGACCCAAGTAGCAAATTGCACCTGCTGAAGCTGGTCTCGAGTCTGTTGTCCAGGCTGCAGGTGACCGAGGAGCCAACCGAGAAGCCAGCGGTGTTGCCTTCCACTTCTCTGAGCAGGAGACGCAGAGGCACGAGACACACCATCGGCGTGTCCGCGGAGGAGCTGGCCAAAGCTAGGAAGTGGCTGGAGGAGGAGAGGACGGGCTGCTCGTACGTCGAGGACGCGCCCTCGAAGGACAAGGAACAAGCCAACGAGGCCAGCTTGGAGAAGAAGCCCGAGGAGGTTCGCGACAAGTGCGTGAAGGACGCTATCAACCAGCGGCAGGTGCTGGAGGACAAGAACAAGGAGATCAGGGAGAGCTACAAGGTGGCCCAGCCCGAGGACGCTAAGCAGAGCGAGGGTATGATTCAGTACAACTACCCGGAGAGTGAGAGTGCTGCGAGCAACGAGAGTGACGACAGAAGTCGCGTGAGCAAGCTGGCAGCGGCGCTCAGGCAGCGAGCGGAGCTGGCGGGCAGCAGGTACCCGGCCGCTAACAAGTTCACCGCGAAGAAGACGAAGATCAAGCGGGCGAACACTATTGATATACCCAGCTACCTGAAGCTGCAGGCCGAGAGCCTCGGCCGCGAGAACTCCGGCTGCGTCTCTCTGCGCAGGCCGATCAACGTCGGCGACAAGGCCGGTTTGAGTCCTGGCACCGCGGTGCCGACGCTGCAGCCGAAGACGGAGAACGACAGGAAGTTCCTGGCGCTGATCAACAGGAACGAGGCGCCGGCGAACGCGGCGGCCCCGTACAAGCCGTTCGGCTTCGCCAAGATGGACGCCTCGCTGGCGAACAAGAACTGGAACAGCAGGTTCTCCAACATCAAGACGACCTTCGACAAGCCGACCGGCAACGAGGACAGGGAGAACAGGCCGTCGCTGAAGGACAGAGCGAACAAGATGTTCCCCGGGACCGCGCAGACGCAGGTTTACGGAGCGGAGTCGGACTCCAGGAGCTACGGCTCCACGGTGAAGGACACCGGTGGCTTCCGGCACGCGCCGTCTTCGCCGTTCAAGAAGATCGAGAAGTCGCCGGTGTCGCCGTTCAAGAAGACGGAGAAGTCCGCCGCGTCGTCGAAGGTCCCTCCGTCGTACCACTGGCCGAAGGCCGCGCCGGTGCCGACGAACACGCTGAAGGAGAAGGCGAGGATGATGTTCGACAAGGAGACGCCGGCGAAGCCGAGGATCGAGGACCAGGAGAAGTCCGCGTTCCCGAAGCCGCCGTGGCTCGAGAAGACGAACGGCACGATCACGGAGAACGGCCGCATCGACTACAAGTCGTTCTGCAAGCAGTTCGCGCCGTTCGTCGGGAAGAGCACCGTCGACGCGAGGAAGTTCGAGAGCCAGAGGCTGCCCGGCGTGGTGGACGGCAAGATCTCCTTCAAGATCCCCGAGAAGCAGAGCCCTCGGATCCATCAGCAGCCGGACCGCCGGGAGAGCGCCAAGGAGAAGTTCGCTCCCAGAAGCGCGTTCGAGGCGATCAAGGCGAGAGCGTTCGAGAATCAGAAGCCCCGCTACCCGGACGCTACGTTGAGAGGTAGCTCTTCGGTGGCAGTGCAGACCGGAGCCAACGAGGACCAGGACGAAGGACGGTCGTTCAAAGTGGCGCCGAAGATCTCCAAGGGATCTACGGCTTGCAGCAACGCGTCCGTGCAGACGACCGATCTGGAGAAGCCGAGAGCGGCCAACGACGCGGACGTTAACACCAACCTGGAGAGCACCGTTTACCATCCTGATCCTCAGAGGTTCGTGCTGGACCACAACCAGAACTATCGCACGGTTCCAGACGCGTTGAGTCCTCGGCAAGCCAACGACCACCGGAGCGTGCACCAGGAGGCTAGCCAGAGCTACCAGAAGCAGCCTGGAGTCGCAGACCCGAGGTACGAAGGTTTCCAGCGTATAGAGGATCACGGGAACGTGGAGGATCATTCCTTCGTGTCTGACGACCAGCCGGAAGTACCGGAGAAAGCCGACTGGCCCGTGGAAGGCTCGACGTTCCTGGACGACCAGAACATCCAGAACCAGGACATCAGCTCGGACACCGGCGTGGTGACGCGCTACACCTGCGCGATCGCCACGGTCGCCTCGTCCGTCGACAGCCCCGAGCCCCGCTCCGAGGAGATGCTGGTCGACTCGCGAGCCTCCTCGACGCCGTCCCCGTCGCAGTGGTCCTCCAGGTCCAGGCCAGCCACCAGCGAGACCGCCACGCCCGAGGACGAGATCCGCAGACACAACCTGCTGCAGCAGAGCCTGGTCCGGCGCCTGCAGAACGAGATCACGTCCTTGAACGACGAGCCGCCGCACCCCTCCGTGAGTCCGAGTCAGTTCAAGCATCAGCCCTCGAGCCAACCGGACAACTACGCGAACCAGTTCAAGCCTCTCACTCAGCCATCCAGCCAACCGGAGAGTTACCCGGGCCAGCAGAGCTTCGACCAGCCCAGCTTCAGCCCGCCGAGTGTCCTGCCTCAGGCCTTCAATCAGCTCTCGAACCAGAATCGACCGGCTCCGAGTCACAGCGGTCAGGCCTTCAACCAACCAGCGAACTTCGACCGCCCGCCGGGCCCTGTGGCGTCCAAGTACGGGAAGTACCTGACCCCGGTGCCCCAGAAGAAACCCGAGAGGGCTCACTCTCCGGGTCCGGTCACCGCGAACCGGGTCGGCGCGCTGAGAGAGGCCTACGAGCTGTCGCCTAATAGTCCGCCGAAGCCGATCCAGAAGGAACGCTCGCCGATACCGAACGGCGTGGCCATCGACTCCAGCGACGAGTACCTGGTCTCCTGCGCGAACAAACCGTCCAGGTCCATCGTGCTGTCGAAGTCGGAGTCCTGGCACCAGCTGGCTCTGTCCAATAGCTACCCCCGTGCTCCCAAAGTGAACGCTCCTGTAGCTACGCCGTCGAAGCTGCCGTCGCACCCCAAGCCGCCTAAACCGAGGTCGCCGTCGTCTCAGAAGCTGCGGTCCAAGCAGTTCGAGGCGTCCTCGATGGCCGACAGCGTGAAGAAGATGGAGGACAAGATCAGACAGTACTTCGACAGCCCTGCAGAGCCTGTTGATACGAAGGACCATAAGAATCGGCGGTCGCCTAGGATGCTGCAGAAAACCATGGTGGGCCTGTCCCGGAGCCGCACGATGACGGGGATCCCCGACGAGAGGCTGAGACTGGTGATACCCAGCGAGCAGGCGCCGCTGTTGAACGTGAACACCGCGGATGTCGACAAGGTGTTCGACGACCTGTTCGAAGAGGCGACCAGGAACGATGTCCGCCATCAATGCTGACCGAGGGTCGTTCTGTCGTCCCCGACTTGCCGGGGAATCAGCCGCGATTACCTTGGCTGGGACCGTTCCGCTTGGTCCAGCCGGTCGCTCCTTGAAGATGATGATGCTGATGATGATGATGAAGATGATGATGATGAGGATGATGATGAGGATGTTAACGATGGTGATAGTAACGATGTCGAAGAGGAAGAATCGTTCGGCAACGAGCGTCGCGAAGTATCTTCCTCCTCCCTCCCGTGTGTCTAGTCTCTTAGTTCCTCTGTCGCGTTGTGAAACGTTCGCCGCGAGAACCGAGTGCCATAGACGTGACTGTACAGAACGGAGGAGATGCTAGAATTAAGGGACTGAGATATTCTTGGCGAAGGGACCGGGACGAGAGGAACCGCGCGCCGGGATCCGGCGGGCGGAGAATCGAGAGAGGCGTTGTTTAAGTTCCCAGGACACCTCGGCAGGAGCAACAAGGATCGGCGATCTTTCGTCGTCGGCGACCGAAGGGGTCGCTGGAACGATCGAGGGAACAAGACTGAATGCATCGCAGAGATTCGCGTTCTCGTTCGGGCACGAAGGGGGCGCGTGTGCTTTTCCAATCTTTCTGTCCTTTTTTTTTCTCTCTCCTTGTTCTTTTCGTTGACATTGTTGTTGCTATTATTTTTTTTCTTTGTTTCTTTTACTCCTTTTCTCTTTTTTTTCTTTGTCTTCTTCTTCTTCTTCTTCTTCTTCCTCTTCTTGTTCTTCTTTTAATAAGCCTCGAGTCGCGCGCTGCGAACACGTTTTGCGGACGGACGTTGAGAGTCGTGCTAGAAGGTCGTGCCAAACCCCGAATAAAGCAGTGAGTCACAGCCCTTCATCTTTGTTGATCCTTTTTTGCCGCGCAGTAGCGTGTTAGCTTGCACCATTACGGACTCTGCACGAGTTTAACAAACGTAGCACCTTCGCGAACTGGCGCGAAGTAGAAAACCTTATTAGAGGCGACACGCGACACCTGCACACGCTCGAACACACTCAGACACGCACAACATATACAGATACACACGCGTGCACACACGGTTACCGTTATCTTTGCTCGCCGCCGCCGACACTCCTCGCGGAGACGGAAGATCGGTGGCCGGGTGATCCGAGATCGACGTCAAAGACATTGAAGACATCAAAGACGCTTGCAATTTCAAAGTAGACTCGACGCGGAGGTGCGCTAATTACGAAGTTCGTATCGGCGACGTGCAATAAACAGATTTTCTTTGAATAATTCAGCATAACGATCAGCAATTGTAACAGAATTCACCTGAGAGGAAGTTTTGTTACACGAGTCGTTACACCAGTAATTTTCGCACCGACGCGTTATTAACATCGCAGCTTCAGCTACGTAGAACTTTAGTTATGCAGATAGTCTAGGAAGTATTAGAATACTGGAAAAATGCTCCCTCTGAACTAGTTGCAGCGACACTAGAACTACTGGATTAGGAATGATGTTCGTGTGATTATTTGATAATTAATATCTTGATTACCCTAAACTTCTTTAACCCCTTGCCTTATAACATGTCAGACTCGCGATGAAAATCTAATAGTATTTATTTTTCTCATAAATTATTACTCGTCTATCAACTTCTAACGTTTGTAGCAAACGTAGACATAGAATATGTATAAGATTCCTTTGTTTCTACTAAATCATTGACAATAACTCTTTTATAGCTCGGTTGAGAAATAAATAGGGCAAGGGGTTAACCATTGAATTCGCTAATATCCAGAAAATCCATCGAAATCTCGTGGAACACGTACAAAATCGTTTCTACAAACGAACTCGATTCAATTAGTTCCAGTGTTAACGCCTCGGTCCGACCTCAGAGGTCAAGGTCGCGATCTGTTCGTCCAACGAGCCCGGAAACCGTCTCCCCGGTTTCCTCTCCTCGGAGGGAGCGATTTTCCGCTTGTCTTTTCTCCTCTCTCTCCCGTCGATCTCCGTTTCCATCGAGGAGCAGCCCCGGCGATCGCAAATCACCGTTCGATCGACGAGAATATAATTCGTCCTCTATCGGCGCAAAAATAGCCGCGTCCCGGCGCACGTGCATTTATTTGGAGATTGTAAACATTCGGGACACGGGCCAGCCAAGTTTCCAAACGCTTTATTCGCGGAATAACCACGGCGCGGTATCTTTCCTCCTGGCGTGGTTCTCTGGGGCTGTATTTGCCGAATTGTAAATCCAGCGTGGCCGAGAAACTGCGCCGCCATTTTGGTGTCCACGCGGGTACCGGTGCGTGGCCTGCTGTGTGGGTGTGCGATCGCTCGCACGCACGCGTACCCGCTGCACACGGGGCCGCCGGGGGAGGATTTTGTTCGAGCAACATTTAGGGATGGGTCCGATGTTAATTTCGAATTCTCTGGAAACACGTGATTGAAGCTTCGCGAGCTGTCGGAACTGTTGGAGCTTTCGAAACTGATCTTATTTTGCAGTGGGAATGTTGACAGTTTGTTTATTCTTAGATCTAATCTAATTCCCTTTATCTATTATTTATTATAATTCTGTGTACTTGACGTATTCGTGGCCAGTGTTTATTTCAGTAGCAATCTTCGTAGTTGCAATATTTTAGTAAACGAATCCGTTTTTAGATTTTATGATTCGATATGAAAACGTATGTTGATTTAATTGTTAATATGTTAATCTCGTACTAGTTACTTAGCTCGTGTAATGTTTTACTATCGACAGTTTGAAAGAAACATTTTACTTCAAGTGGAAATTTCATTTGAAGGTAACACATTGATAATAGCGAAACAGTTTGCTTTGATTCGTGGGTAATGAACATTGATTGTTCAGTTAGTCTAGAGATCTCCATCGAGAGTCTCACTCGACATTGTACAGCAAGGGGTATTCTTTGTTCTATATTAGCACTGATTTTATTATCAGTTTATTATCAGTTTCGAGTGTTCCACGAGAGAAATGCGAGTTTTTGTATTGTCGAAGCTCGAAGCTTTTTCGTATTAAACGTTTCGAGGTTTCGATGGTTCCAGCGACCCATCCCTAGACCATCTATACGAGCACACCAGCCTTTTTAACGTTTTTCTTGGGTTTCTTTTCTTCTCTCTCTCTCTCTGTTTCTCTCTGTTCATTTACTTTCGGCTGAACGAAGCTCCGCGTGTTTTAATTCTTCATTAATGATTTTCTTTTCCTTTTATCTCACGCTGTTTTTGCTCGTGGAGCGATTTCGTCATCGCCTCGTTGCAGCTCGCGTTAACTGAAAGATGAGTTCGTCTCGATCGAATCGTAAATAGTATCCCGTTTCCTTTTCTCTTCGAACTTTATCGGTTCGGAACGGTTTGCGATTAATCGTCGTCGATTCGACGGATGCTTCCCGTTCCCGTTGGTTCGATTGTCCTTTGCAACAAGATGAGAAAAAATGGTTAATTTGCGTACGAACAAAACGAAAACAAAAAACAAAAGAATTGATTCGATGGACCAAGGAATCGCGACGAGGTTGAGAAGCGAAAGGTGTCTGTTTTTTTTTCTTCTTTTTTTTGTCTTTTTTCTGCCAGATCCTTCTAATAATTCTCACATTCGAAGCGATTTATTGACAAACGTTGGTTTTTCTTTCGAAACATAGGCATAGAGCGATGATTAACAAACTTTTTGGTTTTTCTTTTGGTCCGATGACAGAATGCGTGATCAATGATAAAACCCTAACGTTTGCGCTGACGATTACACGATCCTGATCGGTTCTCCTGCTTGCTTAAAATCGCGTCTTCGTTTTTCAGCCCGCAAGAAGCCGCTATCGCCGTTTGCCAAGTTTCGTGAACTCGACAGACAAAATAGCGCCGCTTCGTCACCGAGGTAATTAAAAACAATTTACGATCGCCGCTTGTTTATAACGCATCACTCTTCCTCTTCAACTGTTCTCAATGATTACTGACTCATCGGCGAACTATTTTCGCTTGGTAGACGTAGACGTCCATTTAAGAACATTAGAACATCACGGTCTCGATGCTACTTATCTATACAATCCGTTTTATTGCGTATCAAATTTACTACACACTACCGACGTCCAAACAGTTCAGACAAACATCACACTGGGAATACACAAAGCAAAGACGCATTGACATCACCGGAATACCGTGATACTTAACACTAAAACTACCCAGCAGTTAAATTGACTTTTTGGAATTCCTCTGTAGAAACGTCAAAAGTGCATCTATTGAGACTTTAATTACTTTACCATTCAGTTTGCGTATTGGTAAATCAGTTTCTCTGATAATGTCTCATCTGTTATCTTTTTAATAATTGCAGAAAGAAGAAACCCGTCTGGTAGTTTTAGTGTTAACCCTTTGCAGACGAATTTTGATTTCATATTTGCAATACTAAGTCGCAGACAAATGATTTAATTACTAAAACAGCAAGAGACTAATACGTAGTTTCCCTTTTGCAATTATCTAAGCAATCAGTATATAATTTAGCTCGATCTGCTGACTTCTATATTTCAAAGAATCTTCGTCCGCAAAGGGTTAAACGGTTACAATTCCATTTGACAAGAAATGATCTACAGAAACTTTCTTATTCGAGTCGACATGAAACAAACGCTTCTGCACACGGTATTCCTTATTTCCACCCTTTGTAAGTAAACAGAAACAGCAGGGTTCGCACGCATGCTCGCATTTAGTTGCAAATCCGCGTAGCTCGGGGGTGCCGGTTCTTTCAGAAGCTTAACGCGTGCCTTTTCTTTCTATATTTAGTCCCGTAAAGTCACCGGCAACAGAGTTTCGATTCAAGTTTACCGAGCCAGCGGTGAGGGACAACGCGGCCCAAATAAAAGAGAGGCTACTGGCGTGGTGCCGTTCCAAGACCAAAGAGTACGAGGTAAATCCGCGTTGTAAAATGGTTATTTACAGAAACGCCGGTTAATTGCGTGTCACCGGGTAAAACTGATCCGCAGCTGCTGTTCCGCGGTTGCGACACCGTTCCCCGAAACGCCTAGCGCGCACCACGTGCCTCTCCGTCTATCCCCAATATCTCTCTCTCTCTCGTTGCAGAACGTGCAGCTGGACAACTTCTCCACAAGCTGGAACAACGGACTGGCGTTCTGCGCTCTGCTCCACCACTTCAGACCGGAAGCGTTCGACTATTATTCTCTACGGCCCGAGAACCGCAGAATGAACTTCGAACTGGCGTTTACGAAAGCCGAGTACGCACAGCGCAGTTCCTGAAAACCGAGTCGTTGAATCATTGTTTACACGTTGAATTCAGATGCTTCTGGTACTTGCTTAATAGGCCGCGGACACTCGGGCGAATTCCTTTCCCGACAGATCATCCTTTACTTTTGTCAAGTAGCACTGAAGATGAGGAGTCGACTCGTCACTATTTTCAGTGGTTTTTCATTGTTTGCTTGGCTGATGATCCTTGGATCTATCCCCGTTGTACCGTGGCATCTGAAATAACGGAAATTCTGTAGTAGCCGTACGATCATTCATTCCATTGTTTGGTCGCTGATATTTTTAGGGGATCGGAGAACGAATTGTGATAAGGTCTGACCTTTAAAATGTACCTTGCAGCGAACTCGCCGGCATCGCGCCGCTGCTCGACGTCGAGGACATGGTGATGATGCGAAAACCAGACTGGAAGTGCGTCTTCACCTACGTCCAGTCCATCTACCGTCGCTTCAAGGACGAGGATTAGAGGGACTGACAAACTTGGCGCTCCTCGACAGCGTTTCGCAGTGCAAACCCGACGTTCACCGGCTCCCACGAGACGGTCCTGCTATCCGTTTAATTGGTAATTAAAGAGGAAACGGTCACATCCCCCGACGCGAGACCGAGATAATAAAAAAAAATAGGAAAAAAAAACAAAACACAAAAGAAAAGATGAAAAAAGTACACTCACAAGCGAAGCCCTCCGTTGCGAGAACAGTGAATAACGTAAACGTTCGCTTTTGCGTGTTCAGCATTCAGTAACGTGTCCAATAAATTATTCACGCACGACTTCTGGGCAGCCTTCCGAACTTTTGTTACTTTCCGCTAAGGTTTACGATGATGGTGCAGTAGATAACGGCTTCCTCGAACACGCAGTGCTCTGTGACTAATGTGTCGACGAAAACACTGGTCATTTGCTGCCGAAACCGATATTACCGTTGATATTTTTTCAATGAAACTCAAGGTGTTTTATGCCAAAGATTTGTGAAATAAATACGTGATATTAACAATCTCTTCGTTGATGCTGTTACTCCCCTGGAACGAGTTCTGTTGAAGTCCTTTAGACGATTATGGTAAATTCAGTATACTGGATGGTTACTGAAAGAATTAAATAAGCACTAAATTTAAAGTCAAGCAGAGGGTATCGATGTAGAATTGAATTTTAGAAAACCTGTTTATTAATCATTATTAAAATTCTGTCTATATATATGTACGTAATAATATAAGTAAAACTTTATGAGGTAAATGCGTTTCGACGTAACGGCCATAGTGCTACTTCATATACATATGCAATTACAAATGGATTTCGTTTCGTTTACAAATTTAAATGACACTGATATTAAATATAACTAATTTAGGTATAGGTGCTCTTTTATTTTACATTCAACGAAGTTTTACTCAGACTTTTTGCTATGCTGCACGCCATGTCCATGACGAGAGCATTATAATGCCTCCAATATGAAGACACTTATTCCTATATATTAATTCATAAGGCACCAGAATTGGCACTTGTTACACAAATATTAAATTACAAAGTACTATCTTCCAAAGAATTGTTTATATCATTTCTGTCTTCTCCAAGCATTTCCTGGAACAAATATTATGTTCAATTGAATGTTCAGGATAAATTAAACACTGCAAACAGAGATAGTCATTAGAAATACCTGAAGGACTTCAACAAGAGCTCTGGACTCGTCCAACATTTCCTTGTAAACGCGATTCTCTTCTTCTAGTGATTCCACACGATCGGATAGCTCTTTATTTTCTTCTAAAGCATCTTCAAGTGCTATCCTTCGCCTTTCTGCTAAGACCTCCCAATAATTTTCACTAGGTCCAGCTGTTATGAAAGAGAATGAAATATATTTAAAATAAGTAAAAATAGAATACATCTGTCTTTCTGTTTGTTTAACTGATAATACCTTCAGATGTTAAATCCTCAACTTCTATTTTAATCTTATCTCCTCTTGCAGTTTGGACAGCTTTATCTTTGAGAGTAACTTTTTTACGTTTTGTAGCATCGTGTTTTGATTTTTCTGTCACTTCACTGAAATGTAAAACCATCATTGCGTGAGATACTCAAGAAGTACTTTTACTTTTATAACCATTTGTATAACATGTTCTATTAAAAAGCATACAAGTTTTACTTACGGTTTAAGTGCCTCTTTTGTAGACAAAGCAGATCTAAGCATCCTCCCACCACCAACTAAATTTTCTTTGTCAGTGGCTGCTGGCTGCAAAACGTGCAAAGACTTTCTGACCTTATCCTGTTTTAGTAAAAGAGAAAAGTACATAATATACCTTGCAGCCTTTAAATGCCATTAATTAGCATAAACACAGTGCTACATGGATATTTCATAAATAGAAATAAATCAATTGAAATAATGTTGAAATCACATCGTATGAAATAGGATAGAGCCATGTTGAAACAATGAATTGTATAAAATTTAAAATATTAAATAAAAGTCTCGAAAACCAACTACTGATACGTGATGTGTATACTGCACGTTAATGAGATTGTTAAGGATGTGGAAATACTGGCACGATCGATATCGAACCAATGATTTTAAGTAATCACAAGAAATTTAATAAATATAATACAAAGAAGAGAATCTCATTTAATTACTAACCTCAGCCGGAATAATTTTGGCGCCAGGTACCTTCGCACCACCTCCAGGTTTCATGATAGTGGCCGTTACAGACGCAAGTCAGAAGAATCAAACGAAGAAAAACTAGTAACGGTAATCGGCCGTTAAGTGAGCAACTAGCAAATTACTCCTTCTACTCCGAAAATATGATATTTACGAAATAAATATTTGAATATTTCCAATTTCCGATTCTACAAAAACCCAGCGTCGTATCATCTGCGCAACGAACACCCGTACCCACAACGCTATGTTTCCCGCGTTTAGTGCATCATTAACTGCTAGGTTCTTAAATCATGATAGTGGTAACAAAAAAACACTATAGTCCATGGAGAGTTTCTATGAAATCGATAATCGATTACGTTTCAAGCAAAGATTTAATTATATGTTTTAAATTCCATCAACTACATGAACGAAGAATTTATATAATAATTAATTCAGTTTGGGAATACTCGAATTCATGAATGATAAACAAAAGTATAACTGTGTATTTTCATGATGTAAATTTATTCAGTATCGTTTTATGAGAATGGAGTTGAAAACCTTTTTTTTGAAAAGTCACTCCATCTTGTAGAATAGGAACGAAGCTTGAAGTTGGGATGTAAACATACTTTCATACTGTCAGTTGACTTTGGTTTGGTATTTCCATCTGTTTTTAAAATTTAAACGGAATTACGAATCACAAATTTATCGTAAAATATATTATTTTAAACTTATATTAGTAATATAATATTACATCAATGGAAACCGTTCCAAAAGACTTACGAGGACTAAGAGCGTGTTTGGTCTGTTCTTTGGTTAAGGTATGTTTATGGGTTTTATAGTGTAATTTTCATATAATAGAAATGCTTAATGTATATTACGTTTCGATTATAGACGTTCGATCAATTCGAATTTGACGGTTGCGACAATTGTGATGAATTTTTACGAATGAAAAATAACAAGGACAACGTTTTTGACTGTACAAGTTCTAATTTCGATGGGTAAGTTACTTAGAAAATAAAAAATGCAGTATAGGTTTTTGACATAAATATGGATTTTTTTTAACTATTCTTTTATACATTATTTTCAGTATGATTGCTGCAATGAGTCCAGAGGACAGTTGGGTTTGCAAGTGGCAAAGAATAAGTAAGCAACAAAGTTATATTTGTATGCGTTGAGTTAACTTTAAGCAAAAGAAATATTGTTACTCTTTATTCTTGTACACCTTTACAAAATTATAACAGTTACATTGCCTTATAGTAAATCAATATAATCTGTTATCTCCTCTGTCCTACATTATTTTGACATTTAAAATTTTTGAATGTTCGAGTTCTCAACATTTTGAACTTCTTTTTTTTCCTTCTAATTGTTCATTTTGGCAGTGCAAATGACAACAATAGTAAATCATGTTTTCATTAAGTCTGTGTATGTATTTGAAGGCAGCATTTTGTACAAATTTCAAAGCCAATATTTTTTTTATACAAACAATGTAGCTAATACAAAACAATGTAGTATCCATATTCGCAATTGAATAAGTTCCTTTGCTTCTGAGATTCTTAATGTTAAATACTATTTGTACATTTATACAGAATTTTTACTAATACGTATGATAATATGTATAATTATCAAGGAACATGCCCATGTGCGTACACCTGATTCTATTTTAATGTGTATTAACATATGTTGTAATCTCTTTTTTTTATACATAATGCTTTCTTCTTGTTTCATGGTTAAACTAAAATGAGTTGATCAGTGAAACCCCTTGCCAATGACAAAAAAGCTTGTTATTGCAACTGAGATTCTTCGTTTGCAGATCGATTTTGCAAGGGTGTATATGCAATATCAGTATCGGGACGATTGCCAGCAGGTGTTATAAGAGAGATGAAAAGCAGAGGAATAGTATATAGACCCCGCGATACGAGTCAACGATAATTTTGAACTTGTAAATGTAAGATCACTACTATATTTTATTGTAATATTATATAATAGAATAATATTTTAATTTTAATCTTGCTTCGAAATTCACTATGAATTTAATAAGATCTTCTCGAAAATATTAACTCGATTTGATTGATATGAACTTTTGTTCAGGTTTATGTGTTCAACCCTTTTCTGACTATACTTAGGACTCTGTAAGACGTTTCCAAGACTTTTCTATTCAAATGGACTATTAATATATGTATATTATAATATATCCCTCTAGCCTTTTTTCACTGTCTGTACAATAATATTTTTAATAGACTAGTCTGTAAGATCTTGAAAATGTTCAGATTTTGAGTATATGTACAATTCGCATTGAATCCATTTCTTTCTAATGTTAATCTGCCCCTATTCTCTACGAATCCTTCGTGTAATAAGTTGCTGCGTGTAATTTAAAATTTTCTGAACATAAGCTCTTTTTGTTTTTATGCGAATTAGTATCAAATATGATTATTACCTAAACATATGTTCGAGTGAGAATAGAAAGACGGATGCCGCATAACCGGCAAATGACTGTTTACGCAATTAAGCCATAAATTTGCGCAAGTTACGTGATAATTATTCTCATTATACACTACCCTGTCACTAGTTATAACTGTTAAGCAAAGAGAACAACAAATTGCCTCTCCTTGATGCAAAGGCCAAGCTGGTAATTCTGTAACAATCTGTAAATTTTTATGCACAGGCATGAAAAACATTATTCGTCAATTTTTATATTAAACGTCTCAATTACTATAATATACGAAACGTTTTACATAATAATATTCTCACTAACCGGTATATTTGCATAAAACGGTTCCATTTCCGCCCAAATCCGGTCAATATCCATTAGCAACTCATCAAATCCTATTATATTAATATCCATTTCCTTGTATGAGAAATTAACGCGTCTACAAACTGCTGCAACTTCGGCCAAGTCTATTGAAAAAGAACATAAAAAATTATCGCATAAAATAAGTGAATTTCTTGTAATATTTTCATATTCTCAATGTGATGCTTACTGCAAAGAAAATTATATCCCTGTGCTGAATTTAGTATCTCGTGTAAAACGAGTTCTGAGCTAATATTTGTAAATATATTTGCAGCTACTTGTAATAGTAGTACGCAACTTTCCATGCATTGCTTCCATTCCCAATATTCTGACTACAAGAATACATGTATTATAAATTACACATGCGAGTTTATACTTAAAATTATGATGAAAAATCTGTATACCTGATGTGTAGCATCGATCACTTGCTCTTCCTCTGCATTTGAAGGTAAGAAAGACTTAAGATCTAAACTAGGCACAGATCCTGATCGAGTCAGTGTGTTTGGTGCACCATTCATGAATTCTATACTATTAATTGATATGGCATCTTCTTTTTGAAGAGCTTTCCCTTAAAATGGATCATCGTTATTATCATTCTCTTTTGTACATAAATTAAGAAAACTTAATGATACAAGCAAGAATATTATTTACCCATTTCTAATGAGCGTTCTTCTACAGTATCCTCGAATTTAAGATTGTCGAACGATTCAGAGATTTCTGGCGTGATATTAAAATCTGTTGCATTTATATTACTGTTAGATTTTAATTCAAAATCTGTAAGCATGTCGGTGTAATTATCAGTATCTATAGTGTTCGAGACAGAAGTATTATTAGCAGGTTGTTCTGCGGATATAAATTCTCCAAATTCGTCGGTCGATTGATTGTTATGACTTGCGTTTGAATTTGGTTCTGTTGACACAGTTGTTTCCTGAACCAATGCACGCAAGGCACTATATTTATCGTCAATAAGCTGAAGATTCATTAGGTCCTGTGGATTAGACTCTGATTTCCCTGATGGAACCTACAAATTTGTTTAATATTAACAAACAAAATCGTGCAATTATAAACAGAGTAATGTTCAAAGAATTTGTTACCTTTTCTGACCATTCTATTTTGCTTGAAACATCTTTATCACTATTCAAATTTATAACTTCTGTGCTTATCTGATCTTTAATATTTTCACTATGGTCCTTGGGCGGATCGTTATTTCTTATCACTGTATCCTTAAGTATTACTGTCTTAGATTGACTTTTTATTGTACATTTAGGAAATAGTTCTGTTAAACATTCCATAGTAGGCTGATCTTTATTCTGAGGTGTTAAGTGTAAAGGTGCAGTTGAAAGTTTTGTGTGAACAGTACTGTGTAAAGATTTAGCATTTATGTTGTTCTTCTTTGACTTTTCTACAGGTTTCTTAACACCTAAATTATGATTTGCTAGTCTGCTACCAATTGCAGAGCCTTGTTTTGTGTCCCAAATGGGAACGCTTGGAATGTTAGGAATTGGAGCACTTTGAAACTCAGAGAACTCATCGCATGAGTCCGCCATAGATGAATGCTTGGAATCTAACTGAAAACGGTTTGTTGCTTGTTTCGTTTCTTTAAATGTATTGTTCGCATCCCATACAGCGGTAGAAGACATGTGAGACTTAGTATCGAAAGAAGTAATTTTTCCAGGTACATTATTTGTCATTTGTGTATTTAAATCGGAAGATATGATACTGTGTTGATGAAATTTTGCTTTTCCTTTAACTTCCGATGAATATCTTCCATCTGGGCCAATGAAACTAACTTCTGTATTATCATTAAGGCTTTGAAACTTAGCTGCTGAATTCAATTGTGTTACTGGCTGCAGATTCATTAAACATTCTATATTTAAGTATGGTGTAGGTGGAAACGGAAGTAGATGTAATATATCCAAACTATTGAAAGTGTAAGAAGCCTGTGCTGCTGCGACAAGAGCAAGAACAATATACAGCTCCTGCTCTGTGAGCTGACCGGCATATTTTTGATTTGCCAAGTTCCATATGTGTCCAAGAACTTCTGTGGGTAGCTGACTAGTGAGCAACAAGGCAAATACTTTGTTGGTGTCAACGAGTAGCTCAGTTTGCATTCCATTAGATCTGACTTTATCTTCTCGTACTGCTTCCCATACCATCTTGTAGATTGGTGGTAAAGTAGTTGAATTAGTCCACAGCCAGGTTGGCAATTGGTTCAGTCTTTTATCCATATGAACTTTATTCATGGTCGATCGGTAATCCTTGGCTGGGTAATTGCTATGACGAGTTTGAATTATGTGAACTCGTCGAGAAGGATAATTTCATCCTTCAGCTTACTACCTTGGTACATACATCAACGTGAACACTGTAAACATCTCACTGATTTGCGTGTGGATTTTTCAACATTCGCGCGTGTCACCCACCATTGAATCCACGGTGAACAATTCTCATCGTGAGCAGTGTCTAAAATTACAGCTACAAATTTTGATTATTCGTTACGATTGAAATTATTTGTTCGAGACAATTGCGTGGCACAGATCTTGACAATTCAGGTGTCACCGGATGACCACTGGACAACGTCCTCTTACGAAAGCTGATCAGCGACAAGTGCGACGAAGTTTGTTCGAAATTAAGATTCAATGTGAATCATGATTTTCAACGTGACACTAATTTTTAAAAAGGTAGTATTTAAACATTAATAAAGTGAAATCTTTTGTCATTTTTTTACATTAAAATTAATTTTATTTAACTTAACGTATTCAATCAACATGTTCTCCAAGATATTCCTATCAATTCAGAATGTAAGTTAAATTACTAACAATTAGAAAAATAGGTATTTAATATATAAATAGAATGAGATAAAAATAATACATATAATATTATTTCTTCTTATATGTACTGAAAGATCAAACTTAATTCTACATCCCCATTCCAACAAGAATCATCATCAGAAGTGAGAGTTCTCTCTCATACTGAAATATTCAATGGTAAATATAGAAAGTACAAAACAAAAAAACTATGCCGAACAATTTTTTTAATTGTTTTAGAATATTTGTTCTATATCTTTAAATTGAAATTATACACTAACAATCAGATAGTGAAACTATTTCAATTGATATTCAAACATTTAATAAAATTGATTCAGAAGTTTTGTAACGCCATCTTAATAAAATCTCTCAAGCTTAAACCAATCAGTTTGTATTATATTTGCCTCACTAGATAAACTGAAAACGTTATTACTTGTGAACTGCCTTAATGAAGTAGCATCGTTGATAATTAACTGAACCGTGTCTTGATGCCAATACAAATGGACGTGTGTGATAAACATACTGAATCAATGCATTTGTAGAAATTTGTGTACTGTTTGTACTTGCTGACTTACAAAAGTCAGTCTGATTCAAAAGGAATATTGTATTACTCCTTTATTATAAAAGGAAGTGAAAATAATCATAGTTACACAGAAAAAGGTATGTGAATAACCTCCAACTACTGTTTATGGCTTCGATAATCTGGTTTCAGAAATATTTATTCCTTTTCAGTTGACCGTCAGTCATTAAGAAACCATTGAATTAAATTCAGCGTGTAAATTTTATCAACGTTGAAAATACACGATGTCCACTGACTTCTACATACGTTACTACGTCGGTCACAAGGGGAAATTCGGTCACGAGTTTCTGGAATTCGAATTTAGACCGGACGGTAAACTGAGATATGCAAACAATTCAAATTATAAGAATGATACTATGATTCGAAAAGAAGCTTACGTGCACCAGTGCGTAATGGAGGAACTGAAAAGGATCATTCAGGATTCTGAAATCATGCAAGAAGATGATTCTTTATGGCCACAACCTGACCGAGTTGGCCGTCAAGAATTAGAGATTGTAATTGGGGATGAACACATATCATTTACCACTTCAAAGACTGGTTCTTTATTGGATGTTAATCAATCACGGGACCCTGAAGGACTACGTTGCTTTTATTACTTAGTACAGGATTTAAAGTGCTTAGTATTTTCCTTGATAGGGTTACATTTCAAAATAAAGCCTATATAAGCATGTATAATTATGTTCACACTTTATTCCAGATTTAAGTAAACTTGATTGTAAGAAAATATATAATAACTTTTCTTTGTCTATACATTCAATTATTTCACCTCTACTTGTAGCAGTAGTTATTATTAAGTAAGGAATTGGAAGAAATTAGATAAATGTAGGTATGATAAAATTGAATCAAAGATTATTTATACCGTATGGTTCATTCTATGATTAAGAGGATAGTGGCTTGTAAAATGCATTGTGCCCTTTTAGAAAAATTAGTGATAATACATGTGAAATAAATATAACGGCCAACAGTACTTCACATTAGTTGATACCAGAGAAAGACTGCACATTGAAAAGCAACAGAACAATATCACCGATAGCAGAGAATTGTACGTAAGTAATTATAGGTTATAATTTTCTAACCCATAGACTAAAATTTCAAATAATTAAATTAACTGCACTTTATTTTTTAATAATACAAAGCACATTTTACATTTTTGTATTAAAATATAATGTGCGATTGTAATTTTTAAATTATCCTAAGTACTTTTTTTTCAATATGCATACATTTTTTGTGTATCATTTTCTTTTTAACTTTTAAAGTTTTGGTAGTACAAGTTTTTTCTCTAATGTAATTGTAAAGTGTGTAATAATATTATCTAATGTGACAATAGTTCAATAATTAAAATAATTTTTATTATAGAAATAAAATGTCATCGAAGGAAATGCCCAATAATAGTGGTGACAATGAAGATGATAGAGTTGTTACGGATTCTGTGCATGGAAGGTTCAGACAGATTCAAATACATTGTGATATGTGCAATTTGGATCTTGTTGGGAACTATACTGAAATAAAAAAACATTTTGACAGCTCGCATGCTTCTAAGCAAAGTTGCTCTTATTGCAAAGGAAAAGTATTCACCTATAGGCAAATACCTTTTGATGGTTCTACTGAAGAATCTAAAACAATATTTTATCATAAGTGCAATAGACCATGAATTTCTTCTAGTATAGAAATAATGTAAAATAACTTTTTTATATATTTATATTTACAAACATTTTATATTTTTTTTATAAATATTAAGGTGAGCATAATAATGAGTACAGATACAAAAAAATGTTATAACAAAAATTATGATAATGCTGTCATAGGATTTAAAAACATAGTTGAAAGACATGTTAAATTTATTTCAAATATAAAGGTATATATATTTGTACATAGCGCAAGCTTCATCTCCATATAATCTGTGTAGAAAATATTTCTACTGTCCCTAAATTTACATTTGAGACAGTTTCATAAAGTACAATAATTTAACATTGATTATAGAATTTTTTTAGTTTGCACATGACATTTCAGTACCTTTAGTCAATACCTTTCATGACATTGTTAAGTATTGTATAAATAACAGAAAGGAACATGTTTTAAGCATGTGATGACTAGTTTTATTAAAACAATAGAATAATAGTATTTATTTATAAGCTGCTTTATGCCATTCACTTTGCATTTTTAACTATCTCTGTCAATATTATTGTTACTTACATAATTACTCTATAAATGCTCCATAAATATGTATATTTTTGAAAGAATACTGTATGAAAATTAATACAAATATATACAAACAGAATAAAAAATATTTTATTACTGGTTGACTTGTTACTCCAATTTTGACTTTTGTAGATATGTTGTAATCAATTTCAAATAATAATACTTTATAACTATTTCTTTGCAAATATTATAAGTATGCTCATTTATCAATTGTTAACATTTGTCTTCAAAGATTGACTATTATTATTATTTTTCTTTTCAATTGTATGATTTTTTAAAAATAATGTTAATTTCGTTGGGTAATCAGTTATTACTCCAGTTGCACCAAGATCAAAGGCTTTCTGAAATTCTTCATCTTTGTTTAAGACCCAAAAATATACCTAGAAAAATTACATTGATAATATGCAACAACTGATTTACACTTGATATTATGCATTACATTAACTTACATGTATTCCACGAGCTCTTAAATGGTTAAACAAGGATGGCCTTATTAGCAATACATTGATAGTGTGTATCATTAATTTTCCTATAGGGGAAAATGTGGAATTCGGTCTTCTTGTGCGTCTACAATTACGAGTATAAATGAATAACATAAAATTATTGATTTTACTTAATTCAGTATTACATAAAGTGTTCAATGTACCGTAAATAAATGGAAGGTAAAAATATTTCTAGATGTGTTTCTTTCAAAGGTACAAATGGTAATAATCCTGTATACATTAATAATATCAAGAGAGTTACACGTCGCATGGAAAACAACAAATTCACATTTGGATTCTAAAAGAATTAACATTATTTACTGTCCTTGATGTATTTTAAAAACAAGTTAATTACCGTTTTATAGCATTTCTGTGTTATTTTATCATTAAAATTTCCCCATACAGTATATTCTTCACGATTGTATTCTTTTATAAGATCAGACACCTTTGATATAAGTTGGTCATCGTTAATTTTAATATCAATGTTAACTGGTATATTTGGAAATGCTTCGAAAACTTCTCTCAGTAGAGGAACCTGTCTGTCTTCCTCTTTTTCTGACCCAATGTATTCCTTACCTAATAAACTATAGTTTTTAAATAATTTCATTCAATTGTATGTTTCTGTAATAAATATTTACAATTACCTGGTTCAAAATCAATTGGAAGATGTGGCTTCAAGAGTGGCAATTCTTTGTAATTTAATTCTGATATATTTTTGTTTGTGCCTGTACTACGTAGAAGATTTTGATCATGGAACACGACTACTTGTCCATCCTTTGTAAGGTGACAATCTAGTTCTAGCATTTGTGTTCCAACCGCGACAGCCCTAATATGAAAAACAGGCTCACAAAAAGTTTAAAATGATATTACTTCCTCTTACAGAATGAATAAGCATTTTTACTAACCGTTTAAATGCATGCATCGTATTTTCATATCCTTCTCCAGCCCCTGAACGAAAAACATACGCTGTAACTTATTTATTATGTTCAGAAACATGATGTTAAAAGATGATTAAATGTACCTCCCCTATGACTTATATGTTGACAATTAAATTTCACCCTTTTCTTTTTGTGCAATAACGTGGGATATTTAAAAAGTATCATTGACGTTAGCATGTAACCTCCTATCAATGTGTACAGCAACATTTTATACTCTTTTTTGTTTATTCTCGTAATGTATTGTACAATGTCATTATCCATTAACAAAATTTTTATTTTCATCTAAACAAGACGGGATAATTTCACGTGACCTGCAGCCTACATGATGGAGACTGGTTATGAGTATATTTTGAAGTATACTTCGAATATGTATCAACAAATTTGGAATCCTATGGGTGGAATCGCACGAGTCTCTCATCTTCGATTCAAATTTTTACCGCGCATACATGAAAATACTGTACCAGCTTTTTTTTTGTTTTCCCTTTTAATTTATTTTAATACACGTAAAACGAAACACGAGGAACTTTAGCGGAAAAACAAAATACAATTTGTTTACTATAAAGTTTAAATGAAGAAATTATGGTAGTTGTATTTCATATGTTCTTCAAAGGAAATTATATTCGAATTTCACAGGACAAAATGGTTGGAGTTGTTGTTACTTTTGAATGTGTGGTTGATATTTGATTAAAATATTTATTTCTTTCACAAATAAATATAAATATATCGACATGTCATTGGAAAAATAGATGTCTTACAAATTCTTTTATCCCTTAATAAGCTTCATAGAATGAACGAACCACGGACGATTGTAAAATCACTAAAAATTGCGAATATTCCAAGATATTCCAAGTAATTGGTAAATAGGTAACTATATTAACCTGTTGGACGTCTGTCTTTCTCCCTAGTCCGGAGCTTTTCCGAATGCACCTGTCAAACGTGTTTTAAAAGCTACCTTTATGTAGAAAAATGTGTTTCCAGCAGCGTCTCTCATTCGTTTAACGAGATGTCGGATTCGAATTCGCCGAAAACAGATGCAAGCAGCCTAAGCCTCTCGGGTAACTTGCGACAATTTCGATTCCAAAAGAAACAACTGAAACCATTAAACATGTGTAAGATTCCCTTTATTTTCGATTTTCAATTTCTGACTTCTTATGAACAGTGTCCATCTTTTGTTGTTGTTTTATTGAGAGTACCTTGTATGAGTATTATTTGCTTTACAATAGAGACGTTTTTGTATATTATCCATTAATTTTATTATGGATATTAGTTTAATTTACTTTTTTTGAAGATCATTATTACTAGCAATGCTATGTAAATATTCTCACGATAACATGATTGTAAACAGATACTTCATTATTGTTTAGCGGATGATGATAGCAATCATGTTGGATCTGATATACAATTTCGACGTAAGGCAGTGAATGTAATTGAAGATAGTGATAGTGATGCAGGCAGTCCTTCTAAAAATATAGGTTCTTCGGATCGCAAAGACAAGGTAGATTTATTCGGGGATGTACTGATTCATTTGAAAAGGGATAAAAATGGTATTATTCATTTGAATAGGAAGTGCATGGTAATACAAATTGGAATAGTGATGATGGCGAAGAAATGGTCAGAAATAAGAGAAAGAGGAACTTCAAAGAGCCTCCTAGGGGCATGAAGAAAAAGAGAAGAAAATATAATAGAGAAGAGGATGTAGATATTGATTCAGATGAAGAAAGTTTCAATAAAGAAAAAGTATTTGATAGGTATGTACATAAAAACCTTTATGAATTCCATCAAGTAAAATTTTCTTTATGTGTTGTTTATAGCGATGAAGATTCAGATATAGAAATATCTAATGAGCTTACCAATGATAAGAAAGCAGTTTTAGAATTTATGCAGACTTCTCTTCCATCGGAATTGCTTTTAATGTCTCAGTGTTCTCAAAAAAAAGCAACTGCCATTATACAAGCAAGACCATTTGAGAACTGGAGGGACTTAGTTCAAAAGTTCCAAAATAATAAATATTTAGATACAGAACTGTTGAATTCAGCTCAAGTAAGTGATAGAAGTTTATTACACACCTGTACTTAAATATCAGTATTTAATATCAAAACTCCCTGTGTCACTTGTATGAAATAGGAATTACTGGCCACAAGACACGCAGTGGAAACTTTGATGAAGAAATGCCTTCGTTTGTCTTCAAACATAGAGAAAGCTGTAGCTGCAGGTGTTTCAGCTATCACAAAGCAGCCAAAAGAATTATCATCAAATTTAACATTAGCTCCATATCAAATGGTTGGTTTAAATTGGCTGGCTGTGATGCATGCACAGAATGTGAATGGTATACTAGCAGATGAGATGGGTTTAGGAAAAACAGTACAAGTGATATCCTTCCTCACATATTTGAAGGAAGCTGGCCTCAGAGGTGAAAAAGATGGGCCCCATTTAATAGTTGTCCCTAGCTCAACAATGGGTAAATATATGTTATAAAGTTCTTGATATCTGTTTTCCGATTTATGATGTATGCATTTAACTTGTAGAAAATTGGAACAATGAGTTGGAAAGGTGGTCACCTGGCTTAAAGGTTGTACAATATTATGGTTCCCAAGAAGAAAGGAAAGAGATGAGACTTGGGTGGCGAAATGGTGATCTAGACGACGTTGATGTTTTGTTAACCACGTATAATTTGATTAGCAGCACACCAGAAGAACGGAGACTATTCCGAGTTATGCCAATTGATTACGTTGTTTTTGATGAGGCTCACATGTTGAAAAATATGAGCACTATTAGATACGAGAATCTCGTTAGAATTAATGTACCTATCTAAGTTATCAGGGCTTTAATTTACGTATTTCTTTAAATCATAAATTCTTACAATACTATGTTTGCAGGCGAAACATCGAATTCTGTTAACTGGTACTCCCTTACAAAACAATTTATTGGAATTAATGTCGCTTTTAATATTCGTAATGCCGTCGTTATTTGCTGGAAAACAAGCCGATTTAAAGAGTCTGTTTTCAAAAAATCCAGTAAGTGTTGAACAGTATAATATTCGTAACTACGAGGACACAAATTACATAAACCCATGTATCACATTACAGAAAGTACCATCAGTAAAAAACAACAGCGAAAAACCGTTGTTCGAACAAGAACAAGTTAAAAATGCGAAACAAATCATGAAACCTTTCGTGCTCCGCCGTTTGAAGTCTGAAGTTCTCCGAGATTTGCCTCAGAAAACTGATCGCGTGATAAGAGTTCCAATGACGGAAAAACAAAACAAAATGTACAGAAACTTAATAGCTGAATTTTCAGCGGAAGCTGATCAAAGCTCGCAAGTGAACGGTATAGGGATGATGATGCAATTGAGAAAGCTGGCCAATCATCCGTTGCTAGTGCGAGATTATTACAATGAATCCAAGTTAAAAGTAAATTTATAATATACACTTAACAAGGCACTTGTGTTTTGGAGAATGTTAATTACTTGTAATTTGCTTAGGTAATAGCAAGTAGGCTGGCAAAGGAACATGGGTACAAACAGAAGAATCCAGATTATGTGTTCGAAGATTTGCAGTGCATGTCTGACTATCAGATCAATCAATTAACAAGAACATACAAAAGTTTAGCTGGATTAGGTTTACCACAAGAACTCATTCCTGAAGCTGGAAAATTAAAAGTATTAGATGAGTTACTGCCAAAACTGAAAGAAGAAGGACATAGAGTGTTAATTTTCAGTCAATTTACAATGGTACTGGACATCCTAGAAGAATATCTAACGATTAGAGGAAAATCATATTTAAGGTTTGTTTCATATTTGAATCATTCTGTTTTTTTATCTAACGGTGGGTTAACATTTAATTGGATTATTTTTGAAAATGCAGATTAGATGGAAGTACACCTGTAACAGATAGACAATTTTTAATAAATCAATATACCGAAGATGAAAGTATATTTATATTTTTATTATCTACAAAAGCTGGAGGCTTAGGGATCAATTTAACAACTGCAGATACTGTTATAATTCATGATATTGATTTTAATCCATATAATGATAAGCAAGCGGAAGATCGTTGCCATAGAGTAGGCCAGACGAGGTACGCCGGTAGAATACAATGTATAAAAATATTGCAGCTATAATTAAATGCTTCTGATGAATCTCTAATAATAAAATGAATGTCTTTTTAGACCAGTTAGTATAGTTAGATTATTATGCGAAGATACTATAGAGGAAGGCATGTATGAGGTTGCACAGGATAAATTGCATCTTGAAGAACAGATTACACGTAATGAAGGTGGGTACCATTGGAGTCTGTTTTATTTGTGATTTACTTGATCAAATGTGACGTTCATTTACAGAAAACGAGAGCACGGACAAAAAGAGTGTACTGAAGCTACTTAAAATGACGTTGGGTCTGGATCATAATAGATCTTTGTCGTTAACTCCAACAAAAAATGCAAAAACTAGTAACGGGGCATTAAACAACGAACCGGAGAGCGATATAGAATTCTAAAAGTAATCTCATACTGGAACATATTTTTTACTAGTTGGAAAATCAACGTCATTTTTATATATCTGTTCTTACACTTTGTGATAAAGTACTGTCGCAATTGCACAAAGAACGTTTAACCCGAAAATTCGTCCCATGTGTTTCTTTAACAATTATGCACGTGAAATTATTTACGAGCAATTCTCTAATTAACTGTATTTGGGAATTAACTCCATGAATTCTTTCCATATTATTTTGTACATCACATGCTAAACTATTCTTGTATTTATATGGGTATCTATTTAGATGTTTTTAATTACAATTCAATTATAATTTTTTTTTGTGTGTTGTGTATACGTTGAAATATTTAATTGTATAAGCACTAGGTAAATATTGAAGACTGCACATTGTTCACGAATATACATGGAAAGGGGATGAAAATTGAACATAGACAACAACAAATTTCTGATACAAGTAGTTGCATAATGTGAATAATGTGTTGAAATATATATATTTATTTGATATTATTGTACACAGACATTCCTCTCGAGATTATTTGATCAATGTACAAAACCATTGACGGTGTGCACCGTTTATCGGAGTTAATTTATTTACATGTAATGCATTTCTACTAGAATTCCATTAAGGTTTGTCACATAAAAAGAATGCTACTACTAGACAAGATTTACAAGGTTAACGTATTTAAGAATTTATGATCAGGTGTTAATAATACTGATGAAAAACATTTCAAAATACAATAAAAATTTTGTAATACATGCTTTGTAATTATTGTAATTGTTCAACGATTGAATTATTATAAAGTGAATACAAAATTAAGAAATTAAATTTTAACTAATTCGTAATACGTGCTCCTCATTCTTTTATGCGCCACTCGAAAGTACAACAATCTTATTTCGTACATTACACAGATTGGCCATCTAATTTTCCATAAAAATGGAATATTCCACGTAAAAAACAATATCTTAATGCAATAGTAAATTTCAATCTCTCCAAATTTGATTAAGTAAATATTTTTCTTTCCATTTGTAGCAAATATTTTTTATTATCGTCGTATTAAAACATACTGAAAATCACTGTATATGTTATCATTTTAAGTTGCATAAACTAGTCGAGATTGGCATCTAAGATGAACCTGTAGAATGTTGCAGCTACAGCAGCCTGAAAGGGAAATTCCGTGACGTCATTCAAATACCTTTTCACTTTTAGCTATGTATGTAGTAGCGGGCAGATTATAATACCACTGCAAGAGTAATAAGTGTATATGAATATATAAATACAGTGCAAAGGAAATTACAGTGTATCCCCCTGGTTTTGGGATGCCCCGTGTATTCCTGTAACATTATAATTATTATACAAGAACAGTAAGGTACTCGTAATTCCTGCACGATACATATTTATCAATATCATATGGTATGATCAACAATCATAATGTTATCATGATACAGATACTAACAAGAAAACGAAGTGAACAAGTGCCATGGGTAAATTCTATGTCTTTTATCTGGCATGTTTCTGTATCGATAATTCGTGACGTAACACCTAAAACCGCATATTTCCAAGATCGGAATCTAGAGTTGTAGAATGTTGTCGTCAGAAACTGCAAGAGCCAGGAAAATTCCTGTGACATTAACTGAATAATCCTATCGGCGTGACTTTAACCATTAGATCGAAATAATCGATTGAAGTTACATTCAGAAAACCGTGTAATCATAAGAATTCTATTGGCATACTTTTCAACTAAGCCATTGATATTCTCCTGGAATAATGAAAAATAAAAAGTTAATCAAGATTATGTGGGATCAATTACCGATCCAACGTACAGTTCTCATTGATTCGTGAATTAAATCGACATTATTGATAGTGGGGGAGAGTTGAAAGTGGTGGGGCGTAAATGAACGGCCGAGGAGTGGGGGAAACAAGATTGGTTGGGCAAGGATTAGCGTACCTAATGGAGGGGCGAGGGAAATAAGACACGAGGAGAGGGACAGGGAAAAATCCACGTGGTATTAGCGTTGAAATTTTCAGTATTATAAAAATAGAATTATTGATTAATATATGAGTATGTCCTGTAATTTTCCACGTGAATACAGCACGATAATTTTGTAAGATAAACAATTCAATAAAAGATCAAGATCAACTCATCATTTTATTAGCACGTTAGACTTCCTCGCTTCATCGTTACCGTTGTCCAAAAGGGTTGCATTCAAAATCTTTTTCAAAATACGCACGTTTTCATATCAAATTTTCTTTTCTTTCATTGAACCGATCACCTCCTACCGCAATCAACAATATCAGTGACTCACATTTTGCGTTACTCAATTATGCTGATGATACAATGAGTAAATCCTGAAAGTTCCGTTTTTCCTGGTTCCGTCGGTCGTACAGGTTAAGTTTGCAATTCGAAACGTTGACCTGCACTACTTTTCACACTTTTCGCCTGACGAACGAATAACATTCAATTCGGTAAATACACTCGTCGAAATATTTTCTAAAAATCCCAAAAACGAGATCCATCGCGAATGTTCACGTACGTAATTCTAAGCAACGAGATTACAGGAAGCGACTACCCGGATCTAGTAGTTTCTCCGTTCTTCCCGCCTCTCGCGTACCGTACACAGTACGCCTATTTCATAAGTGAAAAATAAACAAGAAACGATTAATAACTGTCATATCGGCAGCAAGACCGATTAATTGTCAATAATTAGTTAAAAGGTACGAGTCATCTATTATACATATTATTCACTTGCAACCGTTTATTGCTACGATCATAATAAATATCGAATTCGTAAAAATAAAATAAAATACTCAATAACAATTAAATACTAGAAAATTGAAAATATTTCTTCCTAGATAAAATCATCACATTCGAGTTTCTCGGTGTCCAGCCGCGGCTAGTCCAGCGGCTTCGTGTCGCTTCGGAAAAGTTGGTTCCCTCGCCGATCGGAAAATTGGCGGTAAACCGGTACGCGATTCCTTCGTCGGTACACCCGTTCGTTCGTTCATTCGCTCTGTCGGGTGGGGAATTACGAAAGGCAAAGTGTTCCTACGAGCAACACCAGCCCGTCTTAGATTCCGATCTCGAGTAGGCCCCGTAAGGTAGTCGAGCCGCATCGTCGCGTCCGAATCACGGCTGCGAGTGACCAGCAAACGAAATGGCAAGAGTGCGGTGTGCCGTATGTGCCACGATGCTATATAAACAATACTTGCCGCGAACCGTGATCAGTCGAGTTGCGGCGGCCGTACCTGTCGCGACACAATATAATGCATCGCACCATAACAAACTGAAC